TTTGCAGAACATATACAGGCTAAATGAAAAATAATTACTGTATAATGTGTCCCCTGCTGTATAGTCCAAAACCACTGCACGATGTCTCTGTGCACCAAATACTGGCGAGATGGCATCGTGTTGAAAAGTCCAAACAGTGTGAGTTAAAATGGCCGCCATCCATTGTTCTCACCATGTGCTTTATCCATTGTTCTCACCATGTGCCTCTGATACATGAAATGGTGGCCATCCAGTAACTCCACAGTATGTCCCCAGATGGTTCTTAAAGGGCTAGCAGCAGCACAACACAAATCCATTATGCCCAAATCATGTCTTTAAAGGGCAATACATCCCAGGGGCCATAGTCACATGGCAGGAGGCTGGCAATCAGTCTTCTCCAATGCCCAGTGGCGAGGTCGGTTTCGCCACAGTATATTTACATCACTAGTCTGTCTGTCTAATACCGAGCACTGAGACCAGTCAGTATATTACAGAGGGACTGGGAGAGTTCTGCCATCACATGGTCACTAGCAGGGATATACAGACCTGTCTGATACCGAGCACTGAGACCAGTCAGTATATTACAGAGAGACTGGGAGAGTTCTGCCATCACATGGTCACTAATAAGGATATACAGACCTGTCTGATACCGAGCACTGCGACCAGTCAGTATATTACAGAGGGACTGGGAGAGTTCTGACATCACATGGTCACTAACCGGGATATACAGACCTGTCTGATACCGAGCATTGCGACCAGTCAGTATATTACAGAGGGACTGGGAGAGTTCTGCCATCACATGGTCACTAGCAGGGATATACAGACCTGTCTGATACCGAGCACTGAGACCAGTCAGTATATTACAGAGAGACTGGGAGAGTTCTAACATCACATGGTCACTAATAAGGATATACAGACCTGTCTGATACCGAGCACTGCGACCAGTCAGTATATTACAGAGAGAGTTCTAACATCACATGGTCACTAGCAGGGATATACAGACCTGTCTGATACCGAGCACTGAGACCAGTCAGTATATTACAGAGGGACTGGGAGAGTTCTGCCATCACATGGTCACTAGCAGGGATATACAGACCTGTCTGATACCGAGCACTGAGACCAGTCAGTATATTACAGAGAGACTGGGAGAGTTCTGACATCACATGGTCACTAACAAGGATATACAGACCTGTCTGATACCGAGCACTGCGACCAGTCAGTATATTACAGAGGGACTGGGAGAGTTCTGACATCACATGGTCACTAACAGGAATATACAGACCTGTCTGATACCGAGCATTGCGACCAGTCAGTATATTACAGAGGGACTGGGAGAGTTCTGCCATCACATGGTCACTAGCGAGGATATACAGACCTGTCTGATACCCGAGCACACAGGTAGATAACACTTTAAATTCACCGCTGGTAGGTAATACTGAAGGTATATATTATCCTGAGGTAGGTAATACTGACCTGAGGTTGGTACTACTGACTGTAAATACCACCTTGAGGTAGTTACTACTCAATGTAAATACTAAACACCCTAAAAACGAAGATACGAAGCATCAAAAGATGTGTGTGTGACAGAGGGGTGTCTGAGGGTGTTTTTATCTGCCGTCACATTCTAGGCTTCTAATTTTTTGACTGAAGGTTATTTCATTTATTATATGTGTGTGTGTGCTGTATATGTGTGGGAGTGTGCTGCGTGAGTGAGGGAGCAGTTTCCGTCTGAGGGAGCAGTGTCCGTCTGAGGGTGCTGCGTGCGTCTGAGGGTGCTGTGTGTGTGTGAATTTATTTATTTAAATTTAAATATATTTATTATTAATAATTTTAAAAAAAGTTATATCCCCACCCCCCTTCTTACCTTTAGCCTGGGAGGGAGGGGGGGAGCTGGGTTTCCATGGGGGGGAGCCATGCTGCCATGGAGGGTGCCGTGCTGCCTTCCCTGGTTGTCCAGTGGTGAGAGTGAACTCTAGTCTGCAGGCTAGAGTTCACTCTCGCGAGATCTGAGCGTTGTCGCGGCAACGCTCAGACCTTGCGAGAGGAAACGGCATACCTGCTGGCTAGAGCTCCGCCAGTCCTCTCCTCCCTCCCTCCCCAGCTGGCGGCCGCTTATAATTGCCTCTGGGCCGGTGAGGGAGATCTTTGATCTCCCCACCGGCCCATGGAGGCACACAGCAGGGCCGGCACACTGATAGTGCTGGCCCTGCATGGGGCTGGCAGGGGAGATCCTGTGATGTTCCCTGCCGGCCTCGGCCCCAAGGCCATTGCGGCCCACCGGGCATTTGCCCGGTATGCCCGATGGCCAGTCCGGGCCTGGATAGAGCTATAGACCAGCTCTGAGTAGAACCGCATACAGTGGTACAATCTCCACTGATAGATATGTATCTCTTAAAGGGATTCTCCAGTGCCTGGCACTGCAGGTACTGGCAGAGCCACTCTCCCTCCCACGCCTCCATCCAAAGTTACTGAAGGGGTTAGAACCCCTTCAGTGACTTACCAAAGTCCAGCGCTGATGTCCCTCGGCGCTTGGTCAGGCTCTGCCTACTCTCCTCCCCTGTCGACGTCAGCCGGTGGGGGAGACCTAATGAGCATGTGCGGCAATGACCGTGCACGTGCATTAGACCTCCCCATAGGAAAGCATTATTCAATGCTTTCCTACGGGGATTTCGGCAATGCTGGAGATCCTCACATAGCATGAGGACATCCAGCATTGCTAAAAACACTTTTCGTGTTCTATGAATACGGAAATCCCTCTAGTGGTTGTCTAGAAGACAGCCACTAGAGGAGGACTTAACCCTGCAATGTAAATATTGCAGTTTATGAAAACTGCAATAATTACACTTGCAGGGTTAAGGGAAGTGTGAGCTGGCACCCAGACTACTCCAATGGGCAGAAGTGGTTTGGGTGCCTGGAGTATCCCTTTTAAGGGTTATTTTTTTTCAGCAACCAGATTAACTTAAGGCATAAAATACAAAGGCAAACAATCGTGCTTACTGTGATAAAATCAGATACAAATAAAATAACAAAGGTAATTTACTCACATTTTCTAGAGCAGTAACACTGCTTAAATAATAGAGCTTGGGTGCGATGATCCCGAGCAGGATTATGATGTGAAGATAATCCTTGCCCGGGAATAGGTATAAAGTAGAATTAATTCTTCAGGAGTATGACTGTGCCAGGAACAAGAGATGGTTAAAAAATTATATATAAAAACCTAAAAAGTGTAATAAATGGCCTCACACACTACTTTGGGTGAAAGCCAAATAAACTTAAATGCTAAAAAAAACAGTAAAAAAAAAAACAGAAAAAAAATTAAAAAGAAATTTATTGTAAATACTACATGAGTTGACCAATGTTGACTAAATATTACCTGAGCTGACTATAATACTACTGTAAAAGTAAGTAATATTAATTTAAATTAATAATTGCTACACTCCGTTAATACTTCCTGTAAATCTGACATCAGTAATGCTGAGCGTAAATACTACCTAGAGGTAGGTAATGACTGTAGTGACGGAGCTGAATATTACTGCAATGATGGTGCCTGTTAATGCCACCCGGGGGTGAATGATGGTGCCTGTTAATGCCACCCGGGGGTGAATGATGGTGCCTGTTAATGCCACCTGGGGGTGGATGATGGTGCCTGTTAATGCCACCTGGGGGTGGATGATGGTGCCTGTTAATGCCACCTGGGGGTGGATGATGGTGCCTGGTAATGCCACCCGGGGGTGGATGATGGTGCCTGTTAATGCCACCCGGGGGTGAATGATGGTGCCTGTTAATGCCACCTGGGGGTGGATGATGGTGCCTGGTAATGCCACCCGGGGGTAGATAATACAGTTTGTATTTACTACCCTGGAATCCGTGATGGATTTGCCATTAGACAAAGTAGGTATCTGCCTATAAGCTCTTGTCATGAAGGGTGCATGTGTTTTCAGGACTTATAATGCAAATGTTTGAGTTACAGGCACTTCTATTTAGTGTTAAACTGCTTTTAATGTTTTAATGGAGAACGAGAGATCCCAGCAGCCCATACCCTTCATGCAGCTTGGAATAATGAGGAAACATCAGCCTGAGCAGCAATAGGCGGCTGTGATTGGCTGGACGTGTCAGCTGACTGCACTCAGCCTTGCACAGTGCCTATTGCTGGTATGAATTGGTATGGAAGTGTATAATCTCTGGCTTAGCTGCACCTCCACTGAGGCTTGGAGTGACAAGTAAATCTCCTTCAGTGTTAAACTGCTCAGAAATGGTTTAACATTGAATGGAGGGACAGCGCCAGTGTCATTAACCAATTGGGCAGACTAGATGGGCAGAATGGTTCGTATCTGCCGTCACATTCTATGTTTCTATGAATAAGATGACATTTGTTATAGCACCTACAGTGTCCCTTTTACACTGACCTGGTCCCTGTCACCTTAAGGGGTGAAATAATTTTTAGCATTAAAGCATTTTTTTTTTAAAGATCTCTTAAGGGGCATCCCTGCTGGGGGTACAGTGGAGGGTAGGTATACTTACCTGAAGCAGTCCCCCACAGACTCCACCATTTTCTTTCTTCTACTCTTGGTTTATCCACCAGGAGGCACATTGGTTTGGGGGCCTCCATAAATGAAGTCTTGTGGCCGGTGAGAAGCAGTCTGATCACCACAGCCGTTGTTGGAGATGGGTTGGGAAACTGTCAAAGCTTGATGGCAGAAGCTTCAATTTTTATCATGTTTTGTCAACCTTCGGCTTTATCATTAGACAAAGTAATCCACAATTTGTTCTGTATCTTTTTTCAATGAAACTCCAACACTGTGAATGTATTTCATAAAAATTCTATCACTAAAAATATTTGAGGTGACGGACGCTTAAAAAAAGTTGGCTGTAACGGATCGCCTGGCACCCCAACTGGGTACCTCCGTTGAAAGATGCTCCTAGCGCTTCCTGAGGACTCCAAGCACTGCAGCAGACACCACAACCACCGAACCGGAGAAGCATATGAATCCTCTCAAGCATAGGAATGCTGTAGACAGTTGAATAGGAACCATATGAATAGGTTTACTCTCCTAGCAGTCAAACTGGAACAGCATACAATAAATCCTTCCCCCAATAATGAGACGACACTTCACTTTGAGGGTTAAAACAGGAACTCTCTGTACTGTCACATACAGTCTCTTTTATTCCCAATCCACAAACATAGTACAGCCCACAGGGCGTTACAAAACAACCAATCACATATCAGTTACATCCCACATATTCCCTCCCCTTATCCTGAGAGGAAACTCAATTACACATACAGTTAAAACATACTTTCTACCCAACTTTCATAACTCTAAAACCATACATCACATTCACATAAAATTACACTCAGATCACACAAATAAGCCTTTCTGCAGGGGAAATAAACAGTTTAACCTGCAGGGCCATAGTCCAAAGGGAGCAGGCGAGCAACCAGGCTTCTCCAGTTCACAGTGGCGAGGTTGGTTTCGCCACACTTCTCCCCTTTACCAACTAGACTAACAGGGTATCTGACCTCCTGCCGGTCAGTGCCCTGGTTAGTCCAGCAACCCACCCACAAAACAGAAACAGCAGTACAGCCCACCCACAATAACTGGTTACTACACCTGGGTAGAGGAAAACTTTGTCCATGTCCAGGTGCCTCACCACGACTGTGTGGGCAACTGTTAGGCTGCCTTGGTGGGTTGCTGAGTGGGCAGAGACCAGCGGTACTCTGCCCTGATGCCAGTGCTACCACGGAAGTAGCCTGGTGGGAGCCTGGTTGTGGGAGGGAGAGACCGACTGTCTCCCCTCTGGATACACCGCTCTGTGGCTGGGGAACAGGACCGACTGTCCCTACCCCTTGTGCTGTAAGTGCAGAGACTACAGTCCCATCTGCACTGTTGGGGGGTGTAACATCTCCCCTTGCTGGGTTAGGCTGCCGCTGGAGAGAGGGTGTAACAAGCTCCTCTCTCTGAACTGTAAACTGCCGCTGGGGAGAGGGGGTATCAGGCTCCTCTCCCTGACACTCTCTCTGCTGGTGGAGAGGGGGACCAGCTGTCTCCCCTTTCATTATTTTGTCCTGTGGTTGGGGTGCGAGACTGACGGTCTCTGCTCCCTGCAGGACACTCTGCCGCTGGGGAGGAAGGACGGCACCTTCAGCTCCCTGGGGTACACACTGCCGCTGGGGAGGAAGGACTGCACCTTCAGCTCCCTGGGGACACACTGCCGCTGGGGAGGAAGGACTGCACCTTCAGCTCCCTGGGGTGCACACTGCCGCTGGGGAGGAAGGACTGCACCTTCAGCTCCCTGGGGTACATACTGCCGCTGGAGATCTGGGCCGACCGCCCAGCATCCCTGTAGGGCCGGTTGAGAGACCGCCGTCCCATCTCCACCTGCCATCTGTGGGTCTGCCCAGGACCAGTCTGTGAGGTCCCTCAACATTTGCGAGTAAGGACCACCTGCTTTCGCACCTGGCAACTCCGGCTGCTGCTGGGGATCTGGGCCGGTCCCATCTCCACATGCCTGTTGTGGTTCCTCACAGGACCAGTCTATGAGGACCCCTACTTCGGGTTCCTGCGGCCGCCTCAGGGGGAGACGGCTAGCCTCCTCGGATGCAGCCTCTACTCGGCTGCTGTAACACTCCTTCCGCTGAGCATACTCTCTCTCTTTCGCCAGCCGGAATTCTCGGGCCAGCCTTGTGTTTCGCTCGGCCGTGACCTGGTTCCAGATCACCCGGCGTACCTCCATGGGTAAATCATCCCCATACTGGGCCACTCGCTGCCTCACCTCGGCCATCCAATCATCGCCAGAGCCTTCCATACTTGTCTGCTCCAAGTCGCTGGATACCTCTGCTCCCAGGGGCGCTGCACGTGTGCTAGCGTTGCCCTCAATTTGTAACTCCAAACGAACTGTGTCTCTGAGCTGCTTTACCTCGCACTAGGACGCCATCCCACCGCTGCCACCAATGTAACGGATCGCCTGGCACCCCAACTGGGTACCTCCGTTGAAGGATGCTCCTAGCGCTTCCTGAGGACTCCAAGCACTCTGGCAGACACCACAACCACCGAACCGGAGAAGCATAATAATCCTCTCAAGCATATGAATGCTGTAGACAGTTGAATAGGAACCATATGAATAGGTTTACTCTCCTAGCAGTCAAACTGGAACAGCATACAATAAATCCTTCCCCCAATAATGAGACGACACTTCACTTTGAGGGTTAAGCAGGAACTCTCTGTACTGTCACATACAGTCTCTTTTATTCCCAATCCACAAACATAGTACAGCCCACAGGGTGTTACAAAACAACCAATCACATATCAGTTACATCCCACATATTCCCTCCCCTTATCCTGAGAGGAAACTCAATTACACATACAGTTAAAACATATTTTTTACCCAACTTTCATAACTCTAAAACCATACATCACATTCACATAAAATTACACTCAGATCACACAAATAAGCCTTTCTGCAGGGGAAATAAACAGTTTAACCTGCAGGGCCATAGTCCAAAGGGAGCAGGCGAGCAACCAGGCTTCTCCAGTTCACAGTGGCGAGGTTGGTTTCGCCACATTGGCTTTAACACGTTTTATCACAAATATTTTATTTCATAATGAAAATTCCGGGTTATTCAAACAATATTTATTATATATTTAATTTTGTATATGTTTGCAATGAGGCTAATAAAGTACAGCTTTTGTGCTTTATAGACAAGCCTCCACTACTATAGCAGCTTTATAACCATGCTCTCTCTATATGGACCTGTTTGCAGCTCAGTAAGAAATACGGCCCAGTGTTCACTGTTTGGAAGATGACGGAGCCCATTGTGGTTCTCTGTGGGTATGAGGTGGTAAAGGATGCCCTGGTGAATCATGGTGAGCAATTCAGTCAGCGCCCCAGACATCCAACAATAGACATTTACAGCAAAGGATTCGGTAAGTATAACACACATTTTCTATCGGCAATGTAATAAAATCAGCTCCGCTCCCCCCCCCCACCCAAACAGTCCCAATATTGGTATTCTGTCACCCTCCTGATTTAGTCTCCTGGTGTCCTCAGATGCAGGACATGGGGCCGAACAGCTTGACCGCATCATTAGATGTGCATGGCACTAAGACCCTGTAGAGAGTGTTTCAGCAGCATACAAGGTCCTGGGGGCTGGCAAGCCTGGCCCTTTCAGTGGGCAGGCATGCCCTTTTTCTAGGTGGACTGCCCCTTTTTCCAGATGCCCACCCATTTTGGGCATCACCAAGAACTCTAATCACTGGTGATGCCCTCCTCTGACCTGTCCACCCTGTCATGATCCTATACAGTGTGTAAAACTCAAACTGAAAGGGTAATGCTTTATCCCCTGAAGGACCACATCTATAATCTATTAAGGAACCCAGTCTAGTTCCCGAAGACGCAGCAGTAGTATGAAACATCTGGCTTATTTTGCGTTTGCAGCTATATGCAGACGTACGTTCGTTACATGAGAGGGACATTCTATTTTGAGTTGGGGGTCTTTAAAGGCTGGTTTGTTATGACCAAATTCCATAATTGGTAGGATTAATCTGATTGTAAATCCTTTATAAAAAGTACATCTCTTTAATAAGCCAAAACAGAATCATTGAGACCATGAATACAGTTAGCTTGTGATTGGCCCTGCTTGGTCTGATATGCGCTTTAGCTCACCTTTTCTGTTACAGAGAAAGCCTATCTACCTTATACCAGGGGTAGGCAAACATTGGCACTCCATGTGTTCCAGACTACATCTCTAATAATGGTCTTACAACCATAATGCTGGCATTGCATCCCGGGAGAACATCTGCAGTGCCAAAAGCTGCCTACCCCTGCCTTATACTCTTTAAAGTGATACCAAGGGTAATCCAGAAACAAAATACTGGGAGGTACCCCTAGAACGAGGTAACAGCAACTCCAAATAATCGTTTTGCCCTTCCTTTGCAGCATCTGTGAGGTTATGGCTGCTGTGAATTGTAGTCATTAAAAAAATAAATAAAAAAAATCGCCTATGCCTGTTGGCAGTAACAGCAGGGATAAACGTCTGTAATACAGTAATTGTCACGAACGCACCCTACTTCAAGGGCGTGCATGACGTAGTTGTGGTGGTGAAAGGGTTAAAGCTCACTATTTGTCTGCACTAGACTGGAAATAATGACAAAATCCCCCTTTAACACCACCCACACTTAAACATAATAATATAACTATTACTATTTTAACGCTGCCAATCCCAAGACAATTTATAAATGGGGTGCCAACCCACCAAATATTACTTAGCACAATATCTATGTAATTGCAAAATGCTAATTAGTCTCTTCAGGTAGGATGATTCTTTTACCAGACAAAACTTAATATAGGAATATTTATTATGAGCAAAAAAGTCACGGTGCATAAAAAAATAGATGATAAACAAAATATTTAAACCAACAGATGAAAACAAAAAGGAAAATAAGAGTCCTAATCACTTACTCAGCTCTTCAAAGTAAATACTTCTGCCTCAGGGGGTCTCTGCTAGGAAAGTTGGTGACTCACTTAGAATTAGATTCTGGCTCCAAGTAAGTACTCTGCCCACTTCAGTCTCATTTGAGATATACCCTGTGGATTACCACGCCTCACCCAGCGGTGGAGTTAAGGCGTATCTATAGAGACACTAAGTGACCACCCCATCAATCCAAATTGAAACATTTGGCTCTATCTTCTCTTATGTACCTGCCACAGAAATAATAATTGCATCTGTGAATTTATTATTTTCCCATTCTATAGAGATGTTGCACACCGTACTTGCGACCCAATATGGCGGACATAACAATTCCTTCCCCTATGGTCTAGTTAGGCCACTCATGTTTGGGCTTGTTTAGAAAATGGCACTTGTCGCATTCCAAATATAACGAAAATTAGGCTTAATTATTATTCTGTGGGGTAAATATTAATGTTTTTTCTTTGATACTGGAACAAGGCTCATCAATTAAAAGGTACAGCCAATTGGCTGAAGCCAGCTAGACATTCAGGCTTTTAAAAGTGTAGGATCTCACACCCTGCAGAGCATCGATTAATTCACATCCATATGGTAAAATCCTTTTCACATTCTTATGCCATTCACACTACACCTTCTGTCATCTGACCTCTGTCCCAGCTTCAATAGATGTAACCCCTTTTGACCTTGACAATACCATCTCTGCCAGGCCAACCGGTCCTTAATGCACTACACAAATTACATTAAAGGACAATATTCCATAGTGTAATAATAAATTATGCACCCTTGCCGTGACAGTAAGTGCCCAGAGGCAGCAGGGTTAGAGTAGGTCACATGGGTTGATATCTCCCAGGATCCCAGACACTAAGGGACAATTTGCAGTCACTCCTACAACTATTCAAATAACATCAGTTCTTTCTTTATGTAGAAATGAGATTCTCTCCAGTGGGTCGTTTCTGCTTCTCAGGAGCCAGCTAACCTTGTTTCCTTTCCAAACCTTGACTGGGACAGGGCTATTCACAAAAGGGGAAAATCAAAGTGAATTCCAAATGCAATAAAGTAATCAGACTGGAAGCACAGCTCTTTTTATTGTCGTTTGTCCTTAAATTTGAAATTTACTGTGAATTCAGTGTTTGCTCTTTGGTGCGTTTATTTCTGTGATGACTTTTTTTTTTTTTTTTATTCCCTGTTCTCCTTAGCGTTCAGCAGTGAGTGCAAATACTGGCGCCAATTGCGTCGCTTTTTGCTAGGTGCACTGAGGAATTTCGGAATGGGGAAAAAAACCATGGAGGACGAGATTCATGTGGAGCTGCGTGATCTGATCTCGGCCATATCCCAAACTGGAGGTGAGAGGGTTATTCTATAAAATGATTAATGGGGCTGATTTAACACGTGGGATATACACAGACATATACCGCTCTTTAAGAGGGTACAGTGTCGTGCTATTTGGGGTGCAGCTTTTACCTGTAACTGATTATTTTATGTATTCTTGCTCTGCTCATATAGTGTATAGTGTTTTTTCTTAAACATTATAGAAACATAGAAACATAGAATGTGACGACAGATAAGAACCATTCGGCCCATCTAGTCTGCCCAATTTTCTAAATACTTTCATTAGTCCCTAGTCTTATCTTGTAGTTAGGATAGCCTTATGCCTATCCCACGCATGCTTAAACTCCTTTACTGTGTTAACCTCTACCACTTCAGCTGGAAGGCTATTCCATGTGTCCGCTACCCTCTCACATCTAACAGTAGCAAGGATACAACCTAGCAGGAGACACCAAACTCAACTACAAATTAATGTGAATAAACTCACAATATTTTTATATTTATTTGTATTTTACAATTAAAACAGTTTTCTTTATTAGCCAGCATGCTCTCTATTTCCAGGTCACTCGGTGTCCCTTCTACTGGGAGAATTAGTGGGCTGGTGTCTTCCTTAGCCTGGCTTGCTCCCTTGTCGTTTTATTTGCTATGTTCTCTGGTTTTCTCTGATTTCCAGTCTCCATTTTGGATTTTTCTGTGTGTTCGCAATTTGTTAGTTCTGGAATAGTACATTACTTTTACCCATACATAACAGCACATAACTCCTGATAGTTCATTAACACCTTAACGTCGCTAGGGCGGCATAGTATGCCCCAACAATTGTAAGCTCCCTGGCCGCAATTTACTTACATGGACCGGCGATCCATTGCCTCTCGAAACAGGCAGCCCCCCTGCTTCCTTTCTGGCTCCCCGGATGTTGCAAATCATGTGGCCGTAACGCAGTCTATGAGACTGTCTGACTGTTCAGACAGTCCCCCTAGTGTCTAAAAATTAGAGAAATATATATATTAGTTAATGAAAACATCTGATTAGCATATTATACATATATAATTTAATAATACGTGTATTTTGGTATTAATATCAAAATTCATGACCTCTTTATGTATATTACAAAATAAACATACAAACAAAAAATGTAATGTCATAAGCGTATCTTGATATATTTTATTCCCAACCCATCTCTAGCAATGGCTGTGGTGATCAGACTGCTTCTCACCGGACACAAGACTTTGTTTATGGAGGCCCTGTGTATAATGTGTGTATATGCCATTCCCTCATATCCTTAAATTTAAATCCCTTTCATCTGCTTTTTCCTTGATTTCGTTTTTAACACCTCAATGCCTCCCCACCCACAATATCTAACCCCAGATTATCTCCTTTATAGCCTGGGCTGCTTACAATATTGAAACAGCTACACCCAGGACTCCCAGCACACAACCCTGCAGGACTTGCCATAAGCAGAGCCTGGACCCCATACAGTATTGAAACAGCTACACCCAGGACTCACAGCACACAACCCTGCAGGACTTGAGCTCTAACCCTAGAGCATATCCCCCTGAATAATGGATCCCATACAATATTGAAACAGCTACACCCAGGACTCACAGCACACAGCCCTGCAGGACTTGCCATAAGCAGAGCCTGGACCCCATACAGTATTGAAACAGCTACACCCAGGACTCACAGCACACAACCCTGCAGGACTTGCCATAAGCAGAGCCTGGGCCCCATACAATATTGAAACAGCTACACCCAGGACTCACAGCACACAACCCTGCAGGACTTGCCATAAGCAGAGCCTGGACCCCATACAGTATTGAAACAGCTACACCCAGGACTCACAGCACACAACCCTGCAGGACTTGCCATAAGGAGAGCCTGGACCCCATACAATATTGAAACAGCTACACCCAGGACTCACAGCACACAACCCTGCAGGACTTGCCATAAGGAGAGCCTGGACCCCATACAGTATTGAAACAGCTACACCCTGGACTCACAGCACACAACCCTGCAGGACTTGCCATAAGGAGAGCCTGGGTCCCATACAGTATTGAAACAGCTACACCCAGGACTCGCAGCACACAACCCTGCAGGACTTGCCATAAGGAGAGCCTGGACCCCATACAGTATTGAAACAGCTACTCCCAGGACTCACAGCCTGTAACCCTGCAGGACTTGCCATAAGCAGAGCCTGGGCCCCATACAATATTGAAACAGCTACTCCCAGGACTCGCAGCACACAACCCTGCAGGACTTGCCATAAGCAGAGCCTGGGCCCCATACAATATTGAAACAGCTACACCCAGGACTCTCAGCCTGTAACCCTGCAGGACTTGCCAAACCAAAAGAATTTTTCATGGGCGAAATGTGTCAAATGGGACTTATTCTTTTATTTTGTATTCACTTTATTGTTAATATATCCTTCTTACTAAATAGTTACTTAAATAGTTTCTTAATAGTTACTTTTTCATAGTACTATTTATTTTTGGCTTGATTCCTGACACCATCTACATCCTTAGGTGGGGATTATACCACCCATGCTGTTTTAACTAGAGCTCTAATGAATGTAAGTACATTTCTTCTTTTCATCTATTTTATATATATCAGTACTTACTGCACCATTGGCGTTTCTTTTGTTCTTTCTACCTCCTATATATACCATTGGCACCTGGAGGGCCAACAACACTTCAACCACCATACATCGTTGTACTGTCCATGCGCTATACAGCAGAGCTCCAATTAGCTCTAATATATGTGAGTGGTTTTCTTATAGCGACTACTTATATCATTAAGACTGTATCATACTGTATTGCACTATTATTTGTCTTCTTTTTTTCCCCCTGAGGTTTACTACATTTCCCTGAAGGTTTATGTATGTATGAATTTTAAAGCGCAGTAAACGCCACACTTTGTTTCCGTTTATTCGTCACACAAGGTTTTTGGGAATCCTTGTATTGTATACCGCAGCCTGTATTATAATATAGTGAGCGCCTATACCCCTTGTTTTTTACACATCCACAAGGGGCCTGCGCTGAAGACCCCTTCTCTAGATTGTAAGCTCTTTCGAGCAGGGTCCTTATCAACCTATTGTTCCTGTAACAATTTGTAATTGTATCACTTACTGTTAAATTTCCCCCTTTATGACTGTAAAAACCATAAAATAGTCAGTCATAAGCTGGCGCTATAAATGTCAATAATAACCCTAGAGCATATCCCCCTGAATAATGCCTTTTCAGGGGGATATGCACTTTGGGAAACATCTTGATATTTGCATAAAAAGGGCAGTGAAATTATGTAAAGCATTTCTTTCCCAAGAACGTCGTCCTAAACTATCTTTTCCTCCAAAAAGACTTTTCCTTTTACGATAAAGATTTCAGGCTACAGAACTGGCTGTGTTCTCCAGAATGCAGCCATGGAAGAGAGGCCTCTCTTCTTCAAGAGGTTATTGTGGCACATGTGGATCATGTAGACCAGGCTTCCCCAAACTCCGGCCCTCCAGTTGTTGCTGAACTACAACTCCCAGATAGGCTGAGAATCATGGGAGTTGTAGTTCAGCAACATCCGGAGGGCCAGAGTTTGGGGAAGCCTGCTCTGTGAAAGCAGTCCTGATGGGGCATCAGTCCAGTCCTTGGGGGTAGGAGCCAGACATCTATGTTTCTACAAGGTCTGGGCTCTGTATATTTCAGACAAATGGGTTCTGAAAACACTCCATTTTGGTTATTTCCTGGAATTTGCCACGATACCTCATCCATGATTTCTTCCTTCCAGAATCCCACAAATTCAGAAAAAGCTCTTCACTCTTTCACTTGATCCCTCCTAGCAGAAGGTGTAATCTGCACTATTCCCCAAAAAGAGAAAGGTTTGGGGTATTATTCAAGACTCTTCCTTACTCCAAAGGATTCAGGAGAATGATGTGGATCTTCACAAGCTCAACAAGCTGTTATCTGTGAGAAAATTCAAGATGGAATTAATCAGCTCCATTGTAAAGGTCATCTCTCCAGAAACTGGATGAGATCTTTAGACCTTCAAAATGCCTACTTCCATGTTCTGATTGCATTCACTCACCAAAAGTTTCTGATGTTTACAGTAGAACCTTAAAAAAAAAAAAAATTTAAAAATTGGTATCTCTCATTGCTTTTATCCATCTAGAAGAGATCTCCATTTTCCATTAGCTAAAATATATTCTGGTTCTTTCAAACAACAATAATCTTCTTTTTTCTCACCAGGACAGTTCTTCAGCTGCTTCAGGAATTTGGATGGATCATAAACCTCAAAAAGTCAGCTTTCGTCATCCAAGATGATCTATCGAGGGGCAAGGTTTGACACAAACAGAGCTAGTGTCCATGTCTATGGAAAGAACTCTAAACATCCAACACAACGTTCTCCATCTTATAGTGGTCAAGTCAGTCACAGCCAGAGAGTTCATGAGCTTTTTGGGTAGCCTATCCTTAACAATAGGCCTTACAAGATTGTATCGGCCATCTCCCAGGCTTATCAGGTTTCTGAAGTGTCTATCCCATTGGGTCTTCATGCTCACTCCACGAGTTCTGGCTTCCTTTTGGGCAGCTGTAGTCAATATTTCTCCTGAGCGCATTTGTTCTGCAGAAAACCGGATGTCCTTTAATACATTTATTCATTACTGGTTGGATGTTGCCAGAGCTTCTAGTTCTGCCTTTGGCAGAAGTGCTCTTTCTTTAGCTTTATAATAGTTTATTTTCTTCCAAATGTTGGCTGGTTTCAATTTGTTTCCCTCCCTTATGTCTTTAGCTTGGGTATTATCCATCTGTAGTGCTGCCATGGATATATCAGGGAAAAGAGAAAATGTAATTCATACTTACCGATATTTTCTTTTCCAGGATATAGGCCATGACAGCATTAGGATTGCGTCCTGACTTTTATTTTGTTTGTGGCTTTGGACTAAAACTGAGGACTTAGGGGAGGGATTTGTTTGTTTAATTAGGTGTTCCTGTCCAAACGAGGAGTGGAAGGAGCTATAACTATCTGTAGTGCTGCCATGGCCTATATCTGGAAAATGAAAATATTAAGTGTGAATAAAATTTTCTATTTTCTTGTACATCATCTAAATTAATTAAAATTACTAAACACTATAATCTATAGACTTGTGCATTCAGCTTGACAAACAGTTTTATTTCCTTGGAAAGGCCATAACACCACCACTGATAAGGGGAACATGCCGGCCAAACTGGCACTGCTGGGCACAACCAGGTGTATGGATGAGGGTGCCTTCTCTGGGACCCATAACTATGGCATCCTGGATGAATACCAGTCTGGCAGTTCGATCGCTGCATCTCCCAGCAAGAGGATGTTTGGTCAACTATCTATGTAAAGACTATAGTGGACATGCCTCCTGCTGACTCCATGAAGGCACAGTCGGTCTCCACTGACGACCCTGTGGAGATCCTGGTTCCTTCTGGCCAACCTTACTTTGACCCATGCTTCCTCAAGCATTTGCACTCCTCTGAATTGGTTCCTCCTGGCCATATTGCAGAGTTCCTCAAGAACTGGCTCCATTGCCCCATGGGTAAGGAGGTCAGGGCAAAGCTTCAGGCGGAACCAATCCAGTATTTGCCACCTTTATGATGAGGTCGAGAAAGAATCCCAGTAAGGGCCTGGAGCAGGGGCCCACTGATGCACATTTTCCAGATTGCCGATAAAGCTTTGGGTTGATGCGCACCTACTCTGAGAATGGGCGTAGAGAGCCATCTGTCTGCTGGATAACACCAATGTTGCACTATCTACCGAACACCGCAAGGCGGTGCCTTACAAGTTAGATGGCAAGCTGTCAGGGTATTTATATCGGCAGACATCTTGTGCTATGATAGAAATTAAAAGTGTATATTCTGAGTCACTCTGAACAGAGCAGACTCCATTTTGTTATTTCCAAGTTAACAAAAAGACACAAGATTTCTATCTGTAAACTAACCACTTTCCCAGAGCTAAAGGAATGCATAGTATAAACAAGTGATAAGAAGAACGGGGGTTGGATAGACTGTCTATATGTATAAGGTCCCATTGTAAGTTATGGGTCAAAACTCAGATTTGCCAGACACATAGTCTGGACAAAACTTAAAGAAACCCTTTGAAATTTTAAGTTATGGCACTATAAAGATAACGCAAAATGACGTCAAAATAGCCACCAGGAAAAGTTAACTCTTTCCTGGATAGGTATGTTTAGTGGGACTGTCCTCTATAGACCAAATAACTAAATTGCGATCTGGAAGATAACCACACCTCTAGTGCTTCTATTGGGTTATCAACTGATGACGTACAGAGAGTCTGGCCCTTTAAAAGTGAGGACAAAGGGAAGATTGAGAATGCAAAGAAAGGAAAAAGAGGAGAGAGGATTTGGAAGTTGGGGACTCCAACTCGGACATGCAGAGAAACCCAGGACAACATCTGAGACTAACACTCTACTCTTAAAACTCTAACACTTAGAATTTCACTGACTTTCTAACCAACACCACCTTTCACCATAACTCAATGCAGACAGACATCCAAATAAGTTCCTGAGACTATCTACCAATCAGATGAAATATCTACTCAACTGGTAATTATACTGGTTTCATTTAATTAATTAATTTAATTAAAATGTATTAATAGCATTATATATAACTGGATAAAGCACGGTCAGATTTCCATATTTAGAAATCTTAGTTAACTAAAGAATATATAGTTATAAACATTCCATTCTGCAGGTGGAATTAAGAATAATTATATATTAAGGTGATATTATTACGTGTTAGCATACCGTTGTTTTTATCCAGGTGTATTGATTTGCTCTAATATAAGATAGATATCTTTTAGACAAATTAAAATCTGCTTATATAATATGGTAGATTCTCTTATTGGATGGTTCCAGGAAATGACTAATGAACTGGTTTAAATGTTATTTTATTTAAAATTACATAAGAATAGATCTTAACTACCTAGGAGATCTAGCCAGCATTGAAAGGGTTATTCTAACTGTTAGCCAGGGTTTTATGGCCCTTCGCTGTGAAAAGTTTCACTTTCAGTCTGTGAAAGATAGTCATAAATCGTCAAAAATCTTGACAGATAATGCTGTTTAGCCATTGAAACGTATTTAGCCATTCCTTTGTATTGCATATCATTTTATACTGGATATTCATTGATTATTATCACGCATGTTACATATTATTATTATTATTAATAATTAATTTGTTATTATAAATAAAATCTATTTTTATAACATTGTGATTATTTATATGAAATACTTCTCACTTAACACGATAACGATATTTGGGATCTGAGAATTGAATTAGTGGGCAATTCTCACTGTTACTATTATTATCCCATAAATATCCCCACATATTGGAGGCACTGCTGAGATCGTTTAAGTTGAAATTATATTTCATATATAATAATATTGGTGTAATTCATGCAATTTAATCTTGATATAGAAAAGAGTTTTGTATTGAGATTAAATCAGTATATAGAAATATGGCTGAATCTAGCACTTCATCTCAATCAGAGAATGGGAAGAAGTTAGCGGAAATACAAGGTTTTCCCTTAAGCATCTTATATCAGTATCTAAATATTAAAGTTGATTATCCAGAGTGGATACTCCAACTAAAAAAACAGGTTGATGATTCGATTCATGATAGATCGGCTGATTCACCTATGGTTAAATATCTTAGCCATATAGATGAAGAGTCTACAATGCGATCTGTTACCATATCATGCCCGTTTTTCATATTGGGTTATTCTATTATGTTAAACAAGCATAATGAGATAGAACGTAAATTGGACGAGTGTCAGAAAGACCTGGTGCTCGAACAAAGCAGGTTCAACACTTTGTCTGATGAAAATAATCTCCTTCGGGCTCTAAACTCTGACCTTTTTAATAAACTGGAAAGAATGAGCAAAATGGTGGATGATTATGATCAACAGATAAAACAGATACAGATGCAGCTAGATGAATATCAAAAGGGAAGTGAAGAATTACTGGGAAAAGACCCAAGTGATTCTTCTCAATTCCCTGATATTCACACACCAGACCAGGTTTTCATGAAACAGTCTCTAAGAAAAGAGGTGAGTAATTCTGAGAAAACACCTGTAGGTTCTTGGCAATCTTGGGCAGAACAGTTTGAAAAGACTGTCTTGGCCAAACTTGACAGAAGGAATCAGATTCAAGGTGATAGGAATGAAAACAGACATGGTTCTGTTCACTGGCAGAATTCTGATGCTGATCGGAACTGTGACAGTGAACGAGAAGCTCAGAATGATGGGAGTGAAAGTGATTGCACTGTCCACTCTGAAGGCCATGTAACTGATATGCCATCTGCACTGTTGTACGGGTCTAATTCCTCTTCAGCAGACAGATCGCATAGACGTTTACCCAAACACAGAAACAGAGGTCGTAAATCAACGATGCCTGTTTATGAAACACCAAAGGTCATTAAATTCCTTAGAGAGACTGTCCCACAATTTTCTAGAGGTTCAGGAAACATATCTGAACATCTGGAAAATTATGATAGAGCAATGAATTCATTGGGCATGTATGATGACATTCATAAGAAATGGTTCATTACATGGACCTTTGATTCAATGTGTCGTGTTTATCTAGAAAGTCTTCAAGCTATACAGTTAATGTCCTGGTCCAAGATGAAATATGAAATAATCATGGAATATGGTAAGTATAAAACCATTGCCTCTGCTAAGAAAGCGCTTTATAATTTAAAGTGCCGTCCAGATCAAAGCCCCAGAGAATTTTTAATAATTCTTAAAAATGCATACTCCGTGGCCCAAAGAAAACCCAGGTATGAAAGCACAGACTTCAAAGATCTGTATTTTCATGCCATGCCAGTAAACATACAAATGAATCTCGCAAGAGATTACGATTGTAAGTTACCATTAGAATGGCTAGTCAGTCAATGCATGAAGTTGTACACTATACACCATGCACATGACGAAAATCAGCCGAAGGTTAAGAAACCTGGTGATAAAATGTTGGCAGAGACTAAAATTCAGTTAGGTTTAGAAACCCAACAGTAAAAGAGGACCTATTCTGAGGTTTTGAAATCTCCAAAACCTCAGAAACAGGAAAACGCCAGAAGCAATTCTGCAAATTCCTCCAATAACTCTGAAAAATCCAATGCCAATGGGAATAAACGCCCCTGGGTTAATAAGAACCAAGGCAATTCCCAATGGAGAAGGAATCCTCAGGGAAATAGGAGATATGGAAACAGAAACAACCAATCTGCTTCCAATTACTCCCAACAGTCTCAGCCATCCCAGCCAAATTCTAATGGGCAAAGACAAAACGGCAATGGGGGAAATAATTTGCGTCGTCAGGTTGGTCAATTGACAGACCAGATGGGCAAACTAATGGAGGAAATGACAAAGATTAACGAAGTCTTTGCCAGAAATCCTTTTTTAGGGATAGCTCCAATTGCAGAACTACCTGTGCAAACCCAGCAACAACAACAGGTGCCGCAGCAATAATAGCCACTGTGACTAAACAGGCTAGGTTGTCAGTAGATGTAATGCCTAATCCTGTTTCCTTTCCAGGTAATAATAGTCAAACAAACAATAGTTGTGTTAGAAAACCTATTGCCTATCCCGTCACTTCACTTCCGGGTGAAGGAGGCGCAACGTGTTCCTCTGTTTTTTCATTTCAGCCAAAGGCTAAAGTAGCCCCAGCAGCCACAAGTTTCCAGGATCCAGACCTGAAAGGGTTAACTGATGAGATGCCGACCACTAGTTCCCGCTTGACAGTTCTTCCTAAGAAGGATGGGCCCGTGGGTAAGACTGAGCATTCCTCAGTACAGGTAGAAACTACTGCTGTGAATGGTAATGTATGGAAAACAAGTAATATGTTGACACATTCTAAATTCTTATGTGAATTAGAAGAACATGAAGGAAGGTACTACATGTCTGTAGAAATACAGGATTCAAAGGGTTAATAGATACTGGTTCTCAAGCCACTATCTTATCCAATACCTACTACCAGCAGGTAATGGACTTAGCAACGGATAAGCCGAAGCTAAGAGATTTCCCCAATGCTCTGTTGAGTGTAGGAGGAAATGCCCTTCATGTTATTGGCAATACCTGGTTAAAGTTTAAAATAGGTAACAAAACCTTTAGACACCCGGTGATAGTGGTAGATCTCCCCTATGACCGACTGATTCTGGGTATAGACATACTCAGAAGACTTAACACAATTATTGACTGTGTAAATGGAATTGTATGGTCACAAGCTAAGGTTCCCATAACCTATGAGAAATCACATGTTCAATCTGATCGTAACTGCCATGTGATAGAAGAAAGACCTGACTCGATAGAGGTACATTTTAGGAATAGTCAGTCACCTGACGTGACTATCCTGCAGGTGAATGATGCAATCGCACCTGTAGAGGAGCATTCCATAAGAATTGCTCCAGAGAGGATCCAGAATGTCTCTCTGGAAGGTGATGTTTTAACCATTTCTCTCCACAGGGACTATGTTGAATCTGTAGATCTGGCAGGTCATGCTCAATTCCTTGCCAGAATTGAAAGGGTTAATAACAACTTATTCTTTCCTATTCAAATAAATGACTTAGGAAGAAGTAGGAATGCAAAGCTGGACTTAAAGAGTGAGAACAGCTATATTAGCAGAAGTCTGTTAAAGCAGATCGCTAATCCTAAAATGATCAGGTACGCTTCCCCACATGACAGGTGGATCCAGAACCTGGATGGCGAATCAGAGAGTTACAATGTGATAGCAAAATGTTTACTATCTATTTCCATCGGAAATAAGACCGTTAAATATTTATTCCTAGTGATAGACGAACCTCGCTATCATGTTTACGTTGGCAATGATGTTATACATCGCTTTGCCATACACCTTGACCTGATTAATTCCAACTTGTGGACAAGGTTAAAAGGTTATCCTTGTGGATACCTACACGAGGAAAACGCCCTGAAATCAGGACAAATACTCCCATATGCGGTAAGTATCCAAGTTCCTGATGACATAACCATTCCCCAAGGGACAAGTAATTTTCTTTTACCCCTACAGGTCAAGGAGGGTCAGAGATTGGAAAACTCTGATGCCCTAATCTGTTTATCCAACAGGATACAACAATTAGGGATGGTGGTAACACATACACAAATGGTAAGTATTGGTAAGAATCCCACCTATATCATGGCCAACAATGTTACACCCAATAGTGTTACTTTACCAAAAGGAACATTATTAGGTCTAGCATTGGATGCTGAGTACTATACATTTGGTTTCCAAAACCAAATTGTAGGCCTCATCCCTGAAGAATACTTAACTGAGGACGAAATTGTCGATCAAATATTCCATTCCTCCCCAGAAGGATTATTCACTATCCTATCTGTGTATCCCTTCAATGTTGAAGAAGGCTCGTGTAAAATCGAAGAAGCATCTATCACCTTCGATCATCCGCTCAATGAGCAGGAATCACAAGAGTATCACGACCAAAGAGAAAAGGTAAGTCAACACCGAACTGACCTAACTTCTAGGCTTGAAGAAGCTTATGAGATAGGCCAGCCTGAAATCTTTCCAGGATTTCAGGAAAGGCTAGAAGAGCAAATATCTTTAGCTGACGGTTGCTCCAACGATGCTGAGCGACAGCAGCTAAAGGAAATCCTTTTGGAATTCCAAGATATTTTTGCCAAAGATTCCTACGACTGTGGGTTAACTAACCTCCACGTAGCCAGAATACAAACTGATCCAAATTTACCACCTGTATTTATCAAACAATATAGACTCCCATTAGCGTCATATGATGGTCTACAAGACATCATTCAGAATTTAAAGGAAAGGGGCATTATACGTCCAGTGCACAGTTCGTATAATAATCCGATCTTGGGGATTCTGAAACCTAATGGACAATGGCGTTTATGCGCTGACTTACGACAGCTAAATAAACGCGTCTATATGTCTGGTTGGCCAACGCCATACATAGACCAATGTTTGGTACAAATGCAGGGATCCAAAATATTCACTGCCATTGACTGTGCGCAGGGATATTGGACTGTACCAGTCCATAATGAAGACCAATACAAATTGGCCTTCACATTTGGAAAGCAGCAGTATACCTGGACCCGTATGCCTTTCGGTTACATAAACTCTGGTCATGAATTCGCTGTGTTCATGCATAAAGCTATGCCTGACGCACTCGAGAGAGGAACGTTATCATATGTCGACGATGTCTTGCTGAAAAGCACTTCCTTTGATAAGCATATCTTAGAGATTAGACATGTTCTCACTCAGTTAAGAGAGGCAGGGATTAAACTGTCTTTACAAAAGGCACAATGGTGTCGCACCCATGTCAATTTCCTCGGACATGAGGTAACTTCTGAAGGATTAAATCCCCAGAGGAAGAAGGTTGAAGCTGTACTAAAGGCTAAAACACCTTCAAACATCAGGGAATTAAGATCGTTCCTTGGTATGACTAACTACTCCCGTAAGTTTATAGATAACTATGCAGAAATAACGAAACCACTCTTACACCTGCTTAAAAAGGAAACTACCTGGAACTGGGGGGAGCCTCAGGACCAAGCGGTAAGTGAACTGAGGAGGAAGCTCACTCAGGCACCCTGTTTAGCATACCCAGAGGGGGGTAAACCCTTCTATCTGGAGACAGGATATACCGATTTAAGCATAAGTGCTGTTCTGTATCAGAAGCAGGACAGTTTAAACAAAGTTATTGCATATGCTAGCAAGACTTTGTCACCTGTTGAAGTTAAATTCAACACGTGTGAGAAGGCGTTATTGTCAACTGTCTGGGCACTACAAAATTTTCGTAGCTATATCCAAGGTGAGAAAATAATTGTAGAAACAGCTCACCAACCTCTACAGTATCTGCAGAGTGAAAGAATTAGAGACGGTAATCTCTCTAACAGTCGGATTACTGCATGGACTCTATCCTTACAGGGATGGCCGTTAGAAGTCCGTTATAAACATAATAAGAGAAGCCCAGTTGCCCAAGGTTTAGCAGAATTACATGACTGTACTGCTCCATCTCTGGATGATAATGACACCGGAGATGACTTCCTAGAAGAGCAATTGCTATCTCCTTATACAGTTTATGACGAGGAATACTGTCGACCACTACCGTGGGTATACATTGATGGTTGTTCATATCACCACGTCGTTGGTGCTGAACGAAAGTTAGTTGCAGGTATCGGAATCGCCTGGACAGGTGATTATCCCAATGTATCTATAGGATACAATATTGGTCCCAAAAGCAGTCAGATAGCCGAACTCTGTGCAGTATATAAGACCATTCAAATGGCAATAGAATATGGTATCAAAGAATTTGTTATTATAACTGATTCCAACTATGTTCACAACAGTTTCGTTGAATATCTGCCTAGCTGGAAACGTAACCAAATGCTGAAAAGCAATAACAAACCTGTTAAACATGGGAAATTGTTTTGTAAAATCGATGAACTGGTTAGGGAAAATGGTTTAACCATATTGTGACGAGACCAATCTCGCCACATTGCATTGGAGAAGCCTGGTTACTCGCCTGCTGCCTTTGGACTATGGCCCCCTGTTAAAAGACATCTTTTTTACCTGCAGAAAAGCTTCATTCGTGCTTTTCTGCCTGGGGTTCGGTAGATTTGTTTGAATGTGTTCAGATAGGAATCCCATGGAGCCTTATTTGTATGAAACTGACTGTAAAGACTTTGGCTCCATGGCGATTAAACTGTATTCGTGTGGTCTGAGCGCCATTCACTTACAATGTGCCTCAGACCTGAGCTATCTGGGGATATGTGAAATGTCTGTGTTTTATGTATAAAAGGTGACTTTATGTATTTTAAAGTGTTTTGTGTCTTTTGCAACCATGTGCTTAATGGAGTCTTGTGTCTGTCCTGGGAGATAATTGAATTACTCTCCAGGATAGAAGACTCTGAAACTGGTTTTGGGCCAGAAAGCCATGCTTCATTTAGTCACAAAGGACTTTCCCTTAACTTTTGAACCCCTGGTCTGATTCGTGCCATTTTTTAATATGTTGTTCCCCTGAATGGATTGATTGTGAATATGTAATTTTATGTGAATGTGATGTATGGTTTTAGAGTTATGAAAGTGGGTAGAAAGTATGCTTTAACTGTATGTATAATTGAGTTTCCTCTCAGGATAAGGGGAGGGAATATGTGGGATGTAACTGTGATGTGATTGGTTGTTTTATACCTCCCTGTGGGCGGTCCTGTATTTGCAAGACTGTAATAAAAACCAGGCTGGGTGTGCCAGCACCTCAGACCACTGCTTGACCCTCAACACGGAGCCTTGTCTCGTTCTTGGGGGGATTCACTGTATGCTGTTAGAGACTGATTGCCAGGAGTGTAAGCTGTTCGTCTGCTTTTCCTGTTCATCTGCTAGCAGCTATTTGGGAGGTTCCAGTTCGGGAGTTGGAGTGCTATTTTGTATCCAGTTCGGGAGTTTGGTGTTCTGCAGTAGCTGTGCCTGCATCTCTGGAAAGGGGGCCGATCGCCTAAACGGTTTTTACCCCTTGTGTGCAAAACGGTCCGTTACACATATATTGGAAGAAAACCAAAGGCCATTCTAAAATAGAAGGTATTGACAAGGATGGTAATGACTTAGCCGATTCACTGGCAAAACAAGCTGCCATCAATGGTGAAACCTTAAACATTGATGATCTTATGGGTTCAATTCATGTTGAAGCCATAACTAGACGACAGGCTAGAGATAATGCCGACTTAAATGTCGTGCAATGGAGTCAAGAAGCTCCTAGTGAGGACCTGATTACTAGTCAAAAGAATGATCCCGTCATAGGTATATTCTATAAACATATAGAAGACCCTACTGCCAATCCCATCACAGATGAGGATTGCAAAGATAATGAAGATTTACGAATCTTGATGAGATATAAAGTTCAATTTAGTATCATGGATGGGTTACTGGTCAGAACTTCTAAACATGGTATACAACAATGGGTAGTCCCAACTGTATACAGGGGGTTAATGCTCCAACACGCACATGATGCACCTACATCTGGGCATCGTGGTGATAAGATCACATATGAGATATTGCATGATTATGCATATTGGCCACACATGTTAAGGGATGTTAAGACATACTGTCAGGGATGCTTGATTTGTCCGCAATATCAACCCCATGGTCCAACCCATCGTGCACCACTTCAGAAGAGGGGGGTGTCATTACCCTGGTCTGATATTCAAATTGACTTTATAGGTCCTGTAACAAGATCGTCAAGAGGTAACAAATACATGTTAACCGTTACATGTATGTACACAAAGTGGATAGAATGTTTGCCTTGTAAAGAGAACATGAGTACCGTGTGCGCCACCTTGTTGATTAACCATGTCTTTTCCAGGTTCGGTCTGCCTCAAAGAATTGAGTCAGACAGAGGTAGTCATTTTACCAGCGAAGTAATGGCTGTGGAACATTCTAGGTGTTAAACGAAAGCTACATATTGCATACCGCGCTGCGTCTAGCGGGGGGGTAGAGCGATATAACCAGTCTATCGTTAATATCCTGAAGAAGTATGTTAAGGAGTCTGGTAAAGACTGGGACATTAAATTGCCCCTAGTTTTAATGGCGATTAGAGCTACACCTAGCACTGCTACCAAATTGTCACCTTTTGAATTGATGACAGGAAGAAAGATGGTTTTACCACAGCATTTACTATATCGTACTTCAGATCATAACTTGATCAATGCTGCCACTACGCATCAGTATATCGAAGATTTGCACAAGCATTTACAGCATGCGCTTGCTTTTGCCCAAATGAATCTAGAAAAAGCAGCGACAGGGGTTAAGACCTATTACGATCTAAAAACCATGGAAAAGGAATATGAGATCACAGATCAAGTCTATCTGTATAACTTTGCGCGAAATCAAGTCAAGGAAAATAAATTTTTACCTTCTTGGAAAGGGCCATATGTCATCATTGACAAAATTTCCCCAGTAGCGTACAAGATAAAAATTCCTAAGGATGGTGATTTTATTGAAAAGTGGGTTCACATTAACCAGTTGCGTGCTTGTCATCCTAAATCTCAATTAAGGATTATAGGTGTGGATTCAGACGCAGAAGGGTGAACGACTAACCTGGATGAATGCTTGATTCACGTGGTATAGTATGATGTGAAATGTTGTGATGTGCCATGATCTCATGTACGTTCATGTCATTAACCATTTCCTTGCCATCCAATAACTACAATTTCTAAGCAGGTTACTAGCTTGTTTAGCTGCTATAGGCGAATTGCTGAAGAGTCAGTAATAAATGTAGTGAGGGATGAAGTTATAAAAATAGAATTAGAGAGAATACATATGTTGATGAATCGTAATAATGTGTTGTCCTAGGCCAAGTGATGTCACACTGTTATAAGTTTGTATGCTTAACAAACCTTGAATCATTAGTAGATAAGTCTGAAACGAGTTCCTGATCCGTGACTGTCGAAAGATGTCCAAGAAGGATGTGACGTGTTTCTGGATCGTACTGCTCCTGTGCCAAGAGCTACGGACCGACCCGATCGCAGAGATGGGACCATCCTCCGGCATCCTGATTCAAGAGACACCAGGGTTCATCTTAACAGAGAAGAGGATCCTGACCAGACGTGTGTTCGTCAGCTTGGACCCCAAGATTTCCATCGAGAAGGCATACAACATTTCATCGATGCAGCTTCCTGAGTTACAGACTTGGTACCAGATGCACCTCCAAAGAGCACAGGACCGTGTGCGAAACATCTTGGAGCAAGCCCGGAAACCATTTGTATCCAGTTCTATTCCGATGAGCAACCGACCCAAAAGGTTCCTCACCGCTATAATTGTTGCATTAGTTTGTGCCACTGTCGGTGCAGTTGTCGCAACTGGAATGTCTGCAGCCAACTCTATTACTGTCCAAAAGCTGGATATGGAAATCTATGCGCTAAAGCAACACATTAACGATATTCATCAGGTGATACAACAGCAAAGAACACTTCTCCAAGACGTGTTAACTATTGTGGAAGACACAGTTGTTACAACAAATTTGCATTCGGAGTTAATTGCCAAATCCACTGAGTTGCACCAAAGTCATGACTTATTTAAGCGTGAACTTCTATTTCTGCATGACCCAATATTGTTCCACACACTTGCTTTTCTTGACGAAGTGCAAACTGGAATGATCGAATTGGCAGGGGGACGCATACCTCTGTACACTGTATCCAAGGATATTGTTCATGCGATGCTTGCCAATGTGGATGGAGAAACATAGAAACATAGAAACATAGAAACATAGAATGTGACGGCAGATAAGAACCATTCGGCCCATCTAGTCTGCCCAATTTTCTAAATACTTTCATTAGTCCCTAGTCTTATCTTATAGTTAGGATAGCCTTATGCCTATCCCACGCATGCTTAAACTCCTTTACTGTGTTAACCTCTACCACTTCAGCTGGAAGGCTATTCCATGCATCCACTACCCTCTCAGTAAAGTAATACTTCCTGATATTATTTTTAAACCTTTGTCCCTCTAATTTAAGACTATGTCCTCTTGTTGTGGTAGTTTTTCTTCTTTTAAATATAGTCTCCTCCTTTACTGTGTTGATTCCCTTTATATATTTAAATGTTTCTATCATATCCCCCCTGTCTCGTCTTTCCTCCAAGCTATACATGTTAAGATCCTTTAACCTTTCCTGGTAAGTTTTATCCCGCAATCCATGAACCAGTTTAGTAGCCCTTCTCTGAACCCTCTCTAAGGTATCAATATCCTTCTGAAGATACGGTCTCCAGTACTGTGTACAATACTCCAAGTGAGGTCTCACCAGTGTTCTGTACAATGGCATGAGCACTTCCCTCTTTCTACTGCTAATACCTCTCCCTATACAACCAAGCATTCTGCTAGCATTTCCTGCTGCTCTATTACATTGTCTGCCTACCTTTAAGTCATCAGAAATAATCACCCCTAAATCCCTTTCCTGATATGAGCCTATGCAATTAAATCTGGCCTTTGAGATGGGGAGTGCTATACCTCTCTTAATTGATCCGGAACGTATGGAGATTTGCTTTTTATTGGCCATACCATATGTAACTCCCAAAAACATTTTTCAAATGAAAATAATGTACTATATAATAATAATATTATGGTTGATTGTACTAAGTGTAAAGTTCAAAACTTTTACAGGTACAAATATATACAAAAATGTTCATTCCACGCACGGGCCTATGTTAGAAATGATGTGATTGCACAATATGTCTGGTAACTTCTATAGTGCTTATTCATAAGCTAAATTAATTTTGGCTACGAAATGCACTAAAGGGGGGTTATGTCAGGGTATTTATATCAGCAGACATCTTGTGCTATGATAGAAATTAAAAGTGTATATTCTGAGTCACTCTGAACAGAGCAGACTCCATTTTGTTATTTCCAAGTTAACAAAAAGACACAAGATTTCTATCTGTAAACTAACCACTTTCCCAGAGCTAAAGGAATGCATAGTATAAACAAGTGATAAGAAGAACGGGGGTTGGATAGACTGTCTATATGTATAAGGTCCCATTGTAAGTTATGGGTCAAAACTCAGATTTGCCAGACACATAGTCTGGACAAAACTTAAAGAAACCCTTTGAAATTTTAAGTTATGGCACTATAAAGATAACGCAAAATGACGTCAAAATAGCCACCAGGAAAAGTTAACTCTTTCCTGGATAGGTATGTTTAGTGGGACTGTCCTCTATAGACCAAATAACTAAATTGCGATCTGGAAGATAACCACACCTCTAGTGCTTCTATTGGGTTATCAACTGATGACGTACAGAGAGTCTGGCCCTTTAAAAGTGAGGACAAAGGGAAGATTGAGAATGCAAAGAAAGGAAAAAGAGGAGAGAGGAATTGGAAGTTGGGGACTCCAACTCGGACATGCAGAGAAACCCAGGACAACATCTGAGACTAACACTCTACTCTTAAAACTCTAACACTTAGAATTTCACTGACTTTCTAACCAACACCACCTTTCACCATAACTCAATGCAGACAGACATCCAAATAAGTTCCTGAGACTATCTACCAATCGGATGAAATATCTACTCAACTGGTAATTATACTGGTTTCATTTAATTAATTAATTTAATTAAAATGTATTAATATCATTATATATGACTGGATAAAGCACGGTCAGATTTCCATATTTAGAAATCTTAGTTAACTAAAGAATATATAGTTATAAACATTCCATTCTGCAGGTGGAATTAAGAATAATTATATATTAAGGTGATATTATCACGTGTTAGCATACCGTTGTTTTTATCCAGGTGTATTGATTTGCTCTAATATAAGATAGATATCTTTTAGACAAATTAAAATCTGCTTATATAATATGGTAGATTCTCTTATTGGATGGTTCCAGGAAATGACTAATGAACTGGTTTAAATGTTATTTTATTTAAAAATTACATAAGAATAGATCTTAACTACCTAGGAGATCTAGCCAGCATTGAAAGGGTTATTCTAACTGTTAGCCAGGGTTTTATGGCCCTTCGCTGTGAAAAGTTTCACTTTCAGTCTGTGAAAGATAGTCATAAATCGTCAAAAATCTTGACAGATAATGCTGTTTAGCCATTGAAACGTATTTAGCCATTCCTTTGTATTGCATATCATTTTATACTGGATATTCATTGATTATTATCACGCATGTTACATATTATTATTATTATTATTAATTAATTTGTTATTATAAATAAAATCTATTTTTATAACATTGTGATTATTTATATGAAATACTTCTCACTTAACACGACAACGATATTTGGGATCTAAGAATTGAATTAGTGGGCAATTCTCACTGTTACTATTATTATCCCATAAATATCCCCACAAAGCTGGCTGGCACACTCTGCCTCAAAGGAACTGGATCTGGACGCCAAGGACCTGCTATTTGGAGAAGCCTTTATGAAGAGGTGAAATTAGCAAGTTTCCTTTTACTTGTCCCTTAACAAAGCTCAAGTATCCTTTTGGGACGGTCTTCCAGTCAGGAGACCACTCTTTTCCTTCTCTAGGGCTGGCTGCCAGTGGGGCCACATTTTCTGGCATGAGGCCCTGCCTTTTTGGAGTCCTTTCCCACCTCCTACTGTGCCGGTACTGCATGCTGTTTACCAGAGGTTCCTTCAGGGGCTGTGGTGCATCTTCGTCCAGGGCGAGACACACCTCAGGTAAGGATCCTTCGTTATTTGCCAGACTTACATGTTGCAGGCAGATTGTCTCATTTATTTTTTTATTTTTTCTCACTAGGAACCCCTGGGTAGTACAGACAGTGACCAGTTTCCGTATTGAGTTTGTGGATCCTCCACGTCTGACGCAGTTGAACGAGAAGCTGTCCATACTAATCCAGACAGAACTAATTGCCCTCCTGGAGAAAGGAGTGATAGAACGTGCACAGGTCCCTTCATGTTCAGCAACATTTTTGTAGCGGACTGGATGTGTGTCTCACCTGTACCAGAGTCTGCCCCGGTTTCCTGGAGGGGACTTCTTGCTCGCCTCCTGCCCAGTGATTATGGTCCCGGGAAGATGGGACCCTTTAAACCCCTTGACTGGACCTAAGGGATTGTGTATGATCTTACTGGCCCTTTAAGAACCGGCCAGGGACATACTATGACTTTTTGGGAACAATACCCCTTTAAGACTTTGTAGCAGATTACAGTAAGGATGTCTTTTATATTATGTATGTTCCTGTGTGCCCGGCTAAATTGTTATGTGTATACAGCATTCGTCTGATTGTTCGGTAGAATCACTACATTCATTATATTGAGTGAAACTACTGAACAACCAGACCACCCAGGAATAAGTGTGCCTCCAATTACTCGTTTGCAACAATGTTGCAAACGGGTAATTGGCAATCTGTGTAATGTGTTCTTTGTCCTCTGGGTGGCCGCCATTCGGGAAACGAACACGTGGCGGCAGCCATCTTAAACTCCCGAACAGCGGTGTTTTGCCGTCGAGTGTCTGAAACTAAAATCGGACACTCGACTAGGCAAACACCGCTGAGACCTCCAGACTTCCAGCAATTCGTGCAGAAACTACCGAACGGGCCGCCGTTCGGTAGAGAGGATCCCACGAACAAAGGGATTCATACGAATCCTCCCTAGGCTCTATAACCCAGTCAATTTGTGTGTTTTCATTCCCTTTTCTGTGACCGACTGCAGGGCCAAAATACATGGAACTATTTTCGGATACTTTTGCCGTGCAGTCGGTCAAAACTTTAACCCTCCATAATTCCCGAACCCCGGGTCCGATCTGGGTGATTTTTGGATGTGTGTCTCACCCAGATCAGGGCTACCAGGGGATGTAACATTAAAGGTGTACCCCCCATATTTGGGGTACATCCAAGAATTGGGGAAAGTGTGTACTGTATAATTATGTTAAGTGTTAATCTAAGGGGAGGAGATGTGTGGGAGGTAACAGGTATGGGATTGGCGGATGTAATAATTATTGTAAATCCCTCCCTTGCATGGGAGAATGTCTTAAAAGGAGGTGGTGTGAATAAATCTTGAGTTCCTGCTTAACCCTCAAAGTGAAGTGTCGTCTCATTATTGGGGAAGGATTAATTGTATGCTGGTCCAGTTTGACTGCTAGGAGTCTAAACCCATCCGTATGGTTTTTGCCTATTCAGCTGTTTATAGCATTTATATGCTAGAGAGAAGGTATACGCTTCTCCGGTTCGGTGATTGTGGTGTCTGCCAGAGTGCTTGGAGTCCTCAGGAAACGCTAGGAGCATCCTTCAACGGAGGTACCCATCCGGGGTGCCAGGTGATCCGTTACAATTTTCCTTGTCAGGAAGAAGACGGGACTTTTGTCCAGTTATCAACCTTCACATCCTCAATGTGTACGTCATCTATTGTCATTTCAAAATGGAAGGCCACCACCTCCTCAGATACCTGCTTTGCAATTGGTTCTCACACCTGGAAGGCTTCAGGGTGTTTACCTTTCGAGGCACTCTGCTTTTCGCTACTCCTTCTGGGATGTTTGTCATCCTTTGTTTCCTTGAGGACTAGCTGGATAATGGATATTTGTCTCTTTGCCAGCTTTCAGCTAAGTTGGCTCTTCTCCTCTGCCTTGTGTCTGTTGAGTTTTGGACATTCAAACTTTTGACGTGGAATCTTTCTCCCTTGACTGTCTTTTTCGTTAACCGGTAGAATGAAGTCTAACATGTTGTCAGTTTTGTACCTTTACTTCCCGGATACACCTCTGTGTGTCTTGCTGTCTTCGGAGTTACCCATCTGTGACCCCGACTCTTTGACCCTCTCCTTGTGGTCAATTACTGATCTGCCCGTTTCCAGCAGTCTCTGCTCCTATGTTTACTCATTTGGTTTCGTGGCTCCTTGTCTCCGCTGGCATGGATAGGTCCTCCGGGGTGCATTCAGTTCGGTGCACCGCAGCTTCGGCTCTAGATTCTGTTGGCTCCCGTTCGGATATCCTTCTCATGTTGGACTGGTTGAAGGAGTTGACCTTTTGAATGTTTTTTACTTTTGTCCATGTTTCTTCTGCCTTGATATCTCGGCATTAAAATAGAAAATATGAAGTCTTTCTGTCATACCATAAAATTGGGAATCATTCTAGCCTTGGTGAACAAATCTAAATTTTATTAAAGACAGGAGGCAAATATTTTACACCATGCTTGTTTTTGCTTCCCTCCGTGAGTTTTTTCTTGTCTTGTGGGCGTTTGTGATTTTTGTTTGTTGGTCTCTGTTTTGATTTTGTTTGTCTACATGTTTACTCCTGTGGTATTTACCTGTTTTTAGTTTTTCTGACTGTTTAATCCTGTATTGTATTGTTTTGATATTTTATGAAATTCAGCAGTTTATTTTACGTGGTTTTCTCACTTTGCAGTTCGATGGGGACTTCTTCTGGTTCCGTTGGTTCTTGTGTGGTTGTACATGATTCTTAATTTACTCAGCTTGGAATTCCTGCTCAAGCTCATCAAAGAAAAAGGAAGCAGAAGGGTCTGCCTGTGTTTTTATATTACGGTTTTATTAATTTTTTTCTGCTTTGTTGTTTTCTGCAAGTTATGTTAACATTTTTTGTTCCTGGAGGTTTTAGTAAAGAAGGAAAAGCAAAAATGTGTCTCCTGTCTTTAATAAATATTGTTATTATTTGTTCAAGGCTAGAATAATACCCAATTATGTAATATCTGAGGTCTTGCTCTCCATTTGAAAGATTCAAGCTATTTTTTTCTCTGTGTCTCTGTAGGAAAAACATTTAACCCCATCAATCTCTTGGGATCTGCTGTGAATAGCACCATCAGCTACGTTTTGTTTGGGGAAAAGCTTGATTACCAGGACCCAAAATTGCATGAGCTTATAATTGCAGTTCGGAAGCACGTTAGCAGCATATTCTCACCTATTCATCAGGTACAGTATAACCCAACTATATTGCATGCTCTTCCAGCTCTTTGGAACTACAGTCAATCACCTCCTCATTCCCTTCACATGCTATCAGTTACTGCACTTACACGATTAATTCTCTCTGCCATTACCTTCAACTTACTCATCTACCTCAGCCTCTTACACCTGGTCCTGCTGACTAAAAACTTAATTCGTCTGAGTTAATTCACACAGGGGAAACAATGGTTTTGGGAGATATGAGTTTCAATCATGTGGCATTTCTGTTCGTGTGAATTTCACCCATACAATAGTTTTGGGAAAAATGACTCTGATGAACCAAAATGGTGAGAAAATTGGCCAAATGATTGTACTGTAAAATATATACATAACATCAATATTAATAGTATAAATAGTATGTATATCTTTTGCAGTGCACGCATAGGAGCATTTTTGCTCAATTTGGTATTCTGACCGAATGAGAGAGAAAGTAATTAATAGGAAAACTGGAGGAGCAAAAATCTATAATTGTATATGAAATGCATAAATAAAGATTTACTTAGTTTACTCCTCCTTCTTTGTCTTTGTCTCTCTCATTTCAGATGAACTGCAAATCATCCAAAATTGTAGATTATTCTAACGTAGTGTACCAATAATCTTAATTTTAGTAACTAAGAAGAGCGAAAGGAGCATGAGCAACTCGGCGAAAGTAATGTACTCGAAAAGGTACTCTCCCGTGTCCAATTCGCGCAATGCATGATGTCTGAAAGGGACACTCCCACTGAGAGAGCCTGAGATGCTTCCGCCCATCTGACAGAGTGGGCCCAAAACAGGATTCAACACCAGCTAGAGATAATGGATTGATGGATCCATCTGGCCAACATCGTAGTCGTCACCGGACCATGTGGCCTGACATACGAGATTAAAAGTCGATCCGACACCGAAACTGAAACCTGGGGTGGAACTGTGATGTTTGTATAACGCATCAAAGCTCTTACCACGCACAACCGCAGTTCTGTGAGGAAAATAACTGATAACAAACAGAGGAGGAATCCAACTTGGTGCGAGGGGAAATAGCAAAGGAAACTCCTTCAGGAGAGAAAAAGAATGCGACAAAAAGAGACCAGCGACTCAGAGGACCATGCCGAGATGTAGCATTTCCAGGTGCTGGGGCCTAAGAGGTCCTTAGCCACAAGTTTTTGGGGGGATCAGGATCCCCAAAAAAACGTCCAAGCCACAAGTTCTAATTTCTGATCTATGATGAGAGGTTGAGGTTATCCCCTCTGTCCCATCCGAAGCAGAGTGAAGGATGGCTGAAGAATTGGGTGATCTTGTGACATCTCCAATAGATCCAGAAACCATGCTTGGCTCTGCCAGAAAGGTGCTGTGAGGAGGGAAGCCCTGTGGATTTGTGTGTGGTGGAGTACCGTCGCCAGAATGGAAAATGGAGGGAAAGCATGGTTCTGCCTAGGCAATTGATATATTGTTCCGCAGAAAAACCTTGTTCATGCGAAGTAGGATGTAGCAGTTTGACATGTCTTTGGCCTGACTGAGAATTGCGAGGACCTCGCAAACAATTATAGGCAGTTGATGTGTAGGCTGGCCTCCTCGTCCTGCCAAGGTCCCCCGTAGAGGAATCCGTAAAGTGAGCCCCCAGCCCCAGAGACTGGCATCCGATTCCACTAGGAAATCCGGAGAGGAGCCAAAGACCACTTTGCCATGCCAGGTTGTCATGTGTAGGAGCCACCAGTGGAGTTCTGTCCTCACGTCTGTTGCAAGTGGCATCCAGTGGTCGTAGGACTGCCCGGGAACATAGGCCGTTCGCTGTCAGGTATTGCATTGCCCTGTATTGTAGCAGTCCTGGAAATATCGCATAAATTTGGGACGACTGAAGATCCACTATACGGGCGAGCATCCGGAGGGGGAATTGTGTCGATACAAAGGGAGGGATGTAATCTTTGAGATTTGAAGGCGCAGTACACAGTTCAGTGAGGCGATTCTGAAACCGAGGAACTGGACTGTCTGCGAGGGGTTAGTGCTGACTTCTGTCTGTTCACTGCGAAACCCAAGGATTCCAGAAAGTGGACGATAAATTTAATTTGCAATCATAGCCTGCATGTGGATTCGCTGAAGATTAGCAAATCGTTCAGGTACATCGTGAAACACCACGGAGCCGAACTGAGACTGAAAGGCAGACATGTAAACTGGCATGCTCATCATCCTCTCCACAGGAAATGGAGAAAGCATCGTCAGTCCCAAGCAACCGGCATGCGTCTTTCAGATTCAGTTGGATGAACCAGTCGTTTTCAAGGAGGAGGTCCTGAAGGAGATCTATCCCTTCCATTTTGAAATGTCTGAAAACTACGTATTTGATTTTCTGGAGATTTGTAACCGGTTGGTAGTACCCTGATTTCTTCTTGACTATAAATATGTTGCTGAAGAAATCAATCCCGTCCGGTGCGTAATGCACCGAAGAAAAGAGACAGGTTGCCAGCGGTGCAGTTGGAAACAGGTAGGCCAGAAATGTGACTCGCCTGTAGAGAAAACGTCCATGACCTCCGTTTCTTGTTCCTCAGGCTCTGTCTGAGCCCCTGTAGTATGAGGTCCTCTGTGTAGTGGTCGGGTAGAAGTTGGAGGATAGGATCTGGATCCTGTAGACCAGAAGCGGCTGGTGGCTCGGCTCCGTTGCTGACCAGCCCTCCAAAACCCCTCTTTGATGGAGCACAGAAAACCTGTTTGAGCGATGAGTGCACCTTACTTAAGGTTGTAATGGCACCCCCAGGCGTAGACGGGTTAACAGCCGTATAGTAGATATTCCCTTTCAGAGACACTGGCAGCTACTGCAGAACACCAAACTCCCGAACTGGAACCATACGAATACTGCTAGCAGTTGAACAGGAAAAGCATACAATCAGCTTATACTCCTGGCAATCAGTCTGAAACAGCATACAGTAAATCCCCCCCCCCCAAGAACGAGACAAGGCTCCGTGTTGAGGGTCAAGCAGTGGTCTGGTTTATTGAGGGCTACCTGCCCAGTATATATGCAGGTCTCCCACCTGGTGGACACAAGACAGACATGTACCAAGTACAGACACACAGAGGTAAAACAATCCCACAATGCATCACAATTCCCTCCCCTCTATCCTGGAGATAATTGGGAATTAATCCAATTATCTCCCAGAACAGAGACAAAACAACATTATCTATGTGGTGACTACAGGACAATAAAATACAATAAAATAAACAATGTTACAATTATTACAGGAAATATATACATGTAACATATCCCCAGATAGCTTAGGTCTGAGCGCACATTATTATTGAATGGCGCTCAGACCACACACATACAGTTCAATTGCCATGGAGCCAAAGTCTTTTATTACACGAATAGGCTCCATGGCATGGCTATCTGGGTTAACAGCATTCATATGGTTAAATACTGCAGGAACCGGTGTTCGGTTAAACAGCCGAAGGCAGAAGCAGGAAGGCTGGCGGCTCAGCGGTGTTCGTGAGTAAAAGTATCCATTTTCAGTTCCATAAGTTTGGCACTGAACACCACTGGCCGTTCATGAGCTGCAGACTGCCGTCACCGTGTGTTAACTATGTGTAACTGCGACCACCCAGCGCTCATCAATTAAGCTGCGGATAACCGCAGCTTCTGGGAGGCCAATTGATGGCACACGCAAGTCCCCGGTGGTCGGCCGTTCAGTACTTTGTTCGGTAGATTGAATCTACCGAATGCCCCGGCAGAAAGGCATGAATAAGCCTTTCTGCTGGGAAAATAAAAGGTTTTAAATGCCAGGCCATAGTCTAAAGGCAGCAGGTGGGCAACCCGGCTTCTCCAGTGCCCAGTGGCGAGGTTGGTACCGTCACAAAGGTCATAAACAGGTTGACGTGATTTTACAATTCGGCAATGAAAGGTTCCCTGAAGAGAAGACCTTTCGCCAGGGGCCTGAACTCTTTTGATCCTAATTCCAGCAATTTTTGTGTCAATTCTCAGGCGTGCTGTTTTGCGCCATATGGCACAAAGTGCGGCATTGGCATTGACTAGCAGGCAGATTGAAAATTGGGCCTATTCTCGGAAAGCGTTTTGGCCAACTTGTGTATCCTGGGTGAGAGCCAGGTCAGAAAAATACAGTATTTTTGCTATAGGGTCAAGGAGATCCAGCAATTTGTCTTGCGTGGCTTGAAGACCCTTTTCAATGCCTTTTTGTGGGTCCCGGCACGACCGACACCTAAAGACCGATACAGTGGTGTATGAGCAGAGCCAGATGATCTGGGAGGCTTAATTCCGGTGACTTCGGATGTCGGATAGTGAGAGGGTGGAATAGTGGGATCCCTTGCACATCTAGGAAGCATCCATCTTCAGGCAGAGGTCACCAGGTGGCTCAGGATGCCCTTGAGGTAACCTTCTTCCTTCAATACTGCTTCTGACCTCTATTTGTATTTTATATTTTTATACAATTAAAGCCGCTTTTTTCACTCCTTCACCCGGAGTCCTGCATTTTGAGTGGAAGTGTCCAAGGGATTCCCCCAGCCCCCCATATCATCAGGGGTGGCACCATATATGCCTGAACTGTCCAAGATCCTGTGAGTGCATTTCATATTGCGCAGTGTTACACTATACCTCTTTTTATTTATGCTTCTGACATATGTCTGAGGCAAATCCTCTGATCCTCCAGGTGTAGGAGATAGGGTTCACCAGATTTTTACACAAGAGCTATATCTCATGATATGATCAGTAGGCCATGCACGTAACAAGCATTGATAGTCCTGTACCCTATGGGGACTGATGCCAGTAGGCATTTGCATCAGCAGGACCCGTATGTGTTTAGCTGGAGGCTCATCCCAGGTGGTGTGCCTTGATAAATCAGAGGACATCCACATCAGTAGATATATGTGGTGAAAGCCACCTCGCCACTGGACATTGGAGAGGCCTGGCTGCCAGACTTCTACCTGCTGACTATGGCCCCTGGTGAATTTGTACTTTTGAGTGCAATATTTGGGCATGTGGTATTTTATATTGCTGCTACTGGCCCTTTAAGGGCCATCCGTGGACATATTATGACTGTTAGGAACAATGCCCTTTAAGACTGTGTAGCAGATTGCATTCAGGCTGTATTTAATATTATGTGTTCGGTAAACGGTGTTATGTGTATGCAGCATTCGACTGATTGTTCGGTAGAATCACTCCATTCATTATATTGAGTGAAACTACCGAACAACCAGACCACCCTGGAGTAAGTGTGCCTCCAATTACCGTTTGCAACAATGTTGCAAACGGGTAATTGGCAATCGATGTAATGTGTGGTTTTGTCCATCTTAAACTCCCGAACAGCGGTGTTTTGCCGTTGAGTGTCTGGAACTAAAATCAGACACTCGACTAGGCAAACACCGCTGAGACCTCCAGACTTCCATGAATTTGTGTGAAAACTACCGAATGACCCGCCGAACAAGGGAATTCGTTTAAACCCTCCCCAAGCTCTGTAACCCAGGCAATTCGTGTGTTTTCATTCCCTTTTCTGCGACCGACTGCAGGGCCAAAATACATGGAACTATTTTCGGATACTTTTGCCATGCAGTCGGTCAAAACATTAACCCTCCATAATTCCCGAACCCCTGGTCCGATCTGGATGATTTTTGGATATGTGTCTCACTCAGATCAGGGCTACCAGGGGGTGTAACATTTAAAGGGGTAACCCTACGTTTAGGGGTACATTTAGTAACCCAGGGAATTTGTGTCTGGACTAATGGGATTATGTGTCACACTATGGGGAGGAGATGTGTGGGAGGTAACTGGTACATTATTGGCTGGGGTACTAATTGTTGTGGATCCCTCCCTTGCATGGGAGAATGTCTTAAAAGGAGGTGGTGTGAATAAATCTAGAGATTCTGCTTGACCCTCAAACGAAGTGTCGTCTCGTTATTGGGGGAATTGGATTGTATGCTGACTGCCAGGAGTGTAACCCTTTCGTATGGTTTTCCTGTTCGGATATTTCCAGTGTTCATGTGTTTCCAGTTCAGGAGATCGGTGCTTACAGTAGCTGTCGGTGTATCTGGAAAGGGGAATATCGCCTAAACTCATCAGCTCTTTTGGCGTCCAATACCATTTATATGCAGATGACACGCAAATCTACCTGTCCTCCCCTGATCTCTCTCCGCCCACCTTGACTCGTGTTTCTGACTGCCTCTCTGCTATTTCCAACTGGATGGCTGCTCACTTCCTTAAACTCAACCTATCCAAAACAGAACTTCTAGTTTTTCCTCCCTCAAGTGCTGCTACTCCTGTGTCTGTCGCCATCCAAGTCAACGGCGCTACTATCACCTCTACCTCCCAGGCTTGCTGCCTAGGAGTTCTTTTTGATTCTGATCTCTCTTTTACTCCCCATGTTCAATCGATAGCCAAATCCTGTCGCTTCCAACTCAAGAACATAGCGCGCATCCGCCCATATCTAACGCCGGACGCGGCTAAGGTACTGGTTCATGCTGTTCTCTCTCACCTTGACTATTGCAATCCCCTTCTCACCGGTCTTACATGTTCCCAGCTTGCACCGCTGCAATCTATAATGAATACGGCTGCGAGGCTTATTTTCCTGTCAGGTCGCACCTCCCACGCCTCCACGCTCTGTCAGTCCCTGCATTGGCTTCCAGTTAGATATAGGGCCCAATTCAAAATTCTGGCGCTTGCTTACAAGTCCCTACATAATGCTGCTCCAACATACCTATCTTCCCTCACACACAAGTATGTCCCGACGAGACCCCTGCGCTCAGCCCAAGACCTACTCCTATCCTCTGCCCGGATCCCCACCTCTGATGCTCGCCTTCAAGACTTGTCCAGGACTGCACCTATTCTGTGGACCTCCCTTCCCTCCTCAATCAGACTTTCACCCAGCCTCCATTCCTTCAAAAAATCTTTGAAAACTCACTTCTTTATTAAAGCGTATCAATTAAACTGTCAGCAGGTTTCTCATCCCCCACCCCATGACTCCGTTCCTTCACCTGTCAAAAATGACCTACCAAGCACTCAATAAACCCTTCTGTAACAAACTATTTAATTCCCCTACTTTAACCCTTTGTGTCACTATACCCCACTCCCTCTAGCATGTAAGCTCATCGAGCAGGGCCCTCAACCCCCTCTGTTCCTGTATGTCAGTGGTCCGATCTCAATTATGTGTCTGTTAGTCCACCCATTGTACAGCGCTACGGAATTTGTTGGCGCTATATAAGTAATAAAATAATAATAATAATAATAAACAGTTTTTAACCTCTGGTGAGCAAAACGGTCTGTTACAATTGGTGGCAAGCGACGGGATCATTTCCACAGCCCAGAAGGACAGCTATAATACAACACCAGTTCCTGGATTACAAATTGAGGGCAATGCTAGTACCCGTACAGCGACCCTATCTACAAAAGGAACCAACTTCGACAGAGCAAGCATGGCGCCTGGCTACACTCAGGAGCAGTTTGACAGAGAGGTGAGAGGTGTATCCTGGGTGAGAGCCAGGTCAGAAAAATACAGTATTTTTGCTATAGGGTCAAGGAGATCCAGCAATTTGTCTTGCGTGGCTTGAAGACCCTTTTCAATGCCTTTTTGTGGGTCCCGGCACGACCGACACCTAAAGACCGATACAGTGGTGTATGAGCAGAGCCAGATGATCTGGGAGGCTTAATTCCGGTGACTTCGGATGTCGGATAGTGAGAGGGTGGAATAGTGGGATCCCTTGCACATCTAGGAAGCATCCATCTTCAGGCAGAGGTCACCAGGTGGCTCAGGATGCCCTTGAGGTAACCTTCTTCCTTCAATACTGCTTCTGACCTCTATTTGTATTTATTTTATATTTTTATACAATTAAAGCCGCTTTTTTCACTCCTTCACCCGGAGTCCTGCATTTTGAGTGGAAGTGTCCAAGGGATTCCCCCAGCCCCCCATATCATCAGGGGTGGCACCATATATGCCTGAACTGTCCAAGATCCTGTGAGTGCATTTCATATTGCGCAGTGTTACACTATACCTCTTTTTATTTATGCTTCTGACATATGTCTGAGGCAAATCCTCTGATCCTCCAGGTGTAGGAGATAGGGTTCACCAGATTTTTACACAAGAGCTATATCTCATGATATGATCAGTAGGCCATGCACGTAACAAGCATTGATAGTCCTGTACCCTATGGGGACTGATGCCAGTAGGCATTTGCATCAGCAGGACCCGTATGTGTTTAGCTGGAGGCTCATCCCAGGTGGTGTGCCTTGATAAATCAGAGGACATCCACATCAGTAGATATATGTGGTGAAAGCCACCTCGCCACTGGACATTGGAGAGGCCTGGCTGCCAGACTTCTACCTGCTGACTATGGCCCCTGGTGAATTTGTACTTTTGAGTGCAATATTTGGGCATGTGGTATTTTATATTGCTGCTACTGGCCCTTTAAGGGCCATCCGTGGACATATTATGACTGTTAGGAACAATGCCCTTTAAGACTGTGTAGCAGATTGCATTCAGGCTGTATTTAATATTATGTGTTCGGTAAACGGTGTTATGTGTATGCAGCATTCGTCTGATTGTTCGGTAGAATCACTCCATTCATTATATTGAGTGAAACTACCGAACAACCAGACCACCCTGGAGTAAGTGTGCCTCCAATTACCGTTTGCAACAATGTTGCAAACGGGTAATTGGCAATCGATGTAATGTGTGGTTTTGTCCATCTTAAACTCCCGAACAGCGGTGTTTTGCCGTTGAGTGTCTGGAACTAAAATCAGACACTCGACTAGGCAAACACCGCTGAGACCTCCAGACTTCCATGAATTTGTGTGAAAACTACCGAATGACCCGCCGAACAAGGGAATTCGTTTAAACCCTCCCCAAGCTCTGTAACCCAGGCAATTCGTGTGTTTTCATTCCCTTTTCTGCGACCGACTGCAGGGCCAAAATACATGGAACTATTTTCGGATACTTTTGCCATGCAGTCGGTCAAAACATTAACCCTCCATAATTCCCGAACCCCTGGTCCGATCTGGATGATTTTTGGATATGTGTCTCACTCAGATCAGGGCTACCAGGGGGTGTAACATTTAAAGGGGTAACCCTACGTTTAGGGGTACATTTAGTAACCCTGGGAATTTGTGTCTGGACTAATGGGATTATGTGTCACACTATGGGGAGGAGATGTGTGGGAGGTAACTGGTACATTATTGGCTGGGGTACTAATTGTTGTGGATCCCTCCCTTGCATGGGAGAATGTCTTAAAAGGAGGTGGTGTGAATAAATCTAGAGATTCTGCTTGACCCTCAAACGAAGTGTCGTCTCGTTATTGGGGGAATTGGATTGTATGCTGACTGCCAGGAGTGTAACCCTTTCGTATGGTTTTCCTGTTCGGATATTTCCAGTGTTCATGTGTTTCCAGTTCAGGAGATCGGTGCTTACAGTAGCTGTCGGTGTATCTGGAAAGGGGAATATCGCCTAAACTCATCAGCTCTTTTGGCGTCCAATACCATTTATATGCAGATGACACGCAAATCTACCTGTCCTCCCCTGATCTCTCTCCGCCCACCTTGACTCGTGTTTCTGACTGCCTCTCTGCTATTTCCAACTGGATGGCTGCTCAATTCCTTAAACTCAACCTGTCCAAAACAGAACTTCTAGTTTTTCCTCCCTCAAGTGCTGCTACTCCTGTGTCTGTCGCCATCCAAGTCAACGGCGCTACTATCACCTCTACCTCCCAGGCTCGCTGCCTAGGAGTTCTTTTTGATTCTGATCTCTTTTACTCCCCATGTTCAATCGATAGCCAAATCCTGTCGCTTCCAACTCAAGAACATAGCGCGCATCCGCCCATATCTAACGCCGGACGCGGCTAAGGTACTGGTTCATGCTGTTGTTCTCTCTCGCCTTGACTATTGCAATCCCCTTCTCACCGGTCTTACATGTTCCCAGCTTGCACCGCTGCAATCTATAATGAATACGGCTGCGAGGCTTATTTTCCTGTCAGGTCGCACCTCCCACGCCTCCACGCTCTGTCAGTCCCTGCATTGGCTTCCAGTTAGATATAGGGCCCAATTCAAAATTCTGGCGCTTGCTTACAAGTCCCTACATAATGCTGCTCCAACATACCTATCTTCCCTCACACACAAGTATGTCCCGACGAGACCCCTGCGCTCAGCCCAAGACCTACTCCTATCCTCTGCCCGGATCCCCACCTCTGATGCTCGCCTTCAAGACTTGTCCAGGACTGCACCTATTCTGTGGACCTCCCTTCCCTCCTCAATCAGACTTTCACCCAGCCTCCATTCCTTCAAAAAATCTTTGAAAACTCACTTCTTTATTAAAGCGTATCAATTAAACTGTCAGCAGGTTTCTCATCCCCCACCCCATGACTCCGTTCCTTCACCTGTCAAAAATGACCTACCAAGCACTCAATAAACCCTTCTGTAACAAACTATTTAATTCCCCTACTTTAACCCTTTGTGTCACTATACCCCACTCCCTCTAGCATGTAAGCTCATCGAGCAGGGCCCTCAACCCCCTCTGTTCCTGTATGTCAGTGGTCCGATCTCAATTATGTGTCTGTTAGTCCACCCATTGTACAGCGCTACGGAATTTGTTGGCGCTATATAAGTAATAAAATAATAATAATAATAATAAACAGTTTTTAACCTCTGGTGAGCAAAACGGTCTGTTACAATTGGTGGCAAGCGACGGGATCATTTCCACAGCCCAGAAGGACAGCTATAATACAACACCAGTTCCTGGATTACAAATTGAGGGCAATGCTAGTACCCGTACAGCGACCCTATCTACAAAAGGAACCAACTTCGACAGAGCAAGCATGGCGCCTGGCTACACTCAGGAGCAGTTTGACAGAGAGGTGAGAGGTGTATCCTGGGTGAGAGCCAGGTCAGAAAAATACAGTATTTTTGCTATAGGGTCAAGGAGATCCAGCAATTTGTCTTGCGTGGCTTGAAGACCCTTTTCAATGCCTTTTTGTGGGTCCCGGCACGACCGACACCTAAAGACCGATACAGTGGTGTATGAGCAGAGCCAGATGATCTGGGAGGCTTAATTCCGGTGACTTCGGATGTCGGATAGTGAGAGGGTGGAATAGTGGGATCCCTTGCACATCTAGGAAGCATCCATCTTCAGGCAGAGGTCACCAGGTGGCTCAGGATGCCCTTGAGGTAACCTTCTTCCTTCAATACTGCTTCTGACCTCTATTTGTATTTATTTTATATTTTTATACAATTAAAGCCGCTTTTTTCACTCCTTCACCCGGAGTCCTGCATTTTGAGTGGAAGTGTCCAAGGGATTCCCCCAGCCCCCCATATCATCAGGGGTGGCACCATATATGCCTGAACTGTCCAAGATCCTGTGAGTGCATTTCATATTGCGCAGTGTTACACTATACCTCTTTTTATTTATGCTTCTGACATATGTCTGAGGCAAATCCTCTGATCCTCCAGGTGTAGGAGATAGGGTTCACCAGATTTTTACACAAGAGCTATATCTCATGATATGATCAGTAGGCCATGCACGTAACAAGCATTGATAGTCCTGTACCCTATGGGGACTGATGCCAGTAGGCATTTGCATCAGCAGGACCCGTATGTGTTTAGCTGGAGGCTCATCCCAGGTGGTGTGCCTTGATAAATCAGAGGACATCCACATCAGTAGATATATGTGGTGAAAGCCACCTCGCCACTGGACATTGGAGAGGCCTGGCTGCCAGACTTCTACCTGCTGACTATGGCCCCTGGTGAATTTGTACTTTTGAGTGCAATATTTGGGCATGTGGTATTTTATATTGCTGCTACTGGCCCTTTAAGGGCCATCCGTGGACATATTATGACTGTTAGGAACAATGCCCTTTAAGACTGTGTAGCAGATTGCATTCAGGCTGTATTTAATATTATGTGTTCGGTAAACGGTGTTATGTGTATGCAGCATTCGACTGATTGTTCGGTAGAATCACTCCATTCATTATATTGAGTGAAACTACCGAACAACCAGACCACCCTGGAGTAAGTGTGCCTCCAATTACCGTTTGCAACAATGTTGCAAACGGGTAATTGGCAATCGATGTAATGTGTGGTTTTGTCCATCTTAAACTCCCGAACAGCGGTGTTTTGCCGTTGAGTGTCTGGAACTAAAATCAGACACTCGACTAGGCAAACACCGCTGAGACCTCCAGACTTCCATGAATTTGTGTGAAAACTACCGAATGACCCGCCGAACAAGGGAATTCGTTTAAACCCTCCCCAAGCTCTGTAACCCAGGCAATTCGTGTGTTTTCATTCCCTTTTCTGCGACCGACTGCAGGGCCAAAATACATGGAACTATTTTCGGATACTTTTGCCATGCAGTCGGTCAAAACATTAACCCTCCATAATTCCCGAACCCCTGGTCCGATCTGGATGATTTTTGGATATGTGTCTCACTCAGATCAGGGCTACCAGGGGGTGTAACATTTAAAGGGGTAACCCTACGTTTAGGGGTACATTTAGTAACCCAGGGAATTTGTGTCTGGACTAATGGGATTATGTGTCACACTATGGGGAGGAGATGTGTGGGAGGTAACTGGTACATTATTGGCTGGGGTACTAATTGTTGTGGATCCCTCCCTTGCATGGGAGAATGTCTTAAAAGGAGGTGGTGTAAATAAATCTAGAGATTCTGCTTGACCCTCAAACGAAGTGTCGTCTCGTTATTGGGGGAATTGGATTGTATGCTGACTGCCAGGAGTGTAACCCTTTCGTATGGTTTTCCTGTTCGGATATTTCCAGTGTTCATGTGTTTCCAGTTCAGGAGATCGGTGCTTACAGTAGCTGTCGGTGTATCTGGAAAGGGGAATATCGCCTAAACTCATCAGCTCTTTTGGCGTCCAATACCATTTATATGCAGATGACACGCAAATCTACCTGTCCTCCCCTGATCTCTCTCCGCCCACCTTGACTCGTGTTTCTGACTGCCTCTCTGCTATTTCCAACTGGATGGCTGCTCACTTCCTTAAACTCAACCTGTCCAAAACAGAACTTCTAGTTTTTCCTCCCTCAAGTGCTGCTACTCCTGTGTCTGTCGCCATCCAAGTCAACGGCGCTACTATCACCTCTACCTCCCAGGCTCGCTGCCTAGGAGTTCTTTTTGATTCTGATCTCTTTTACTCCCCATGTTCAATCGATAGCCAAATCCTGTCGCTTCCAACTCAAGAACATAGCGCGCATCCGCCCATATCTAACGCCGGACGCGGCTAAGGTACTGGTTCATGCTGTTGTTCTCTCTCGCCTTGACTATTGCAATCCCCTTCTCACCGGTCTTACATGTTCCCAGCTTGCACCGCTGCAATCTATAATGAATACGGCTGCGAGGCTTATTTTCCTGTCAGGTCGCACCTCCCACGCCTCCACGCTCTGTCAGTCCCTGCATTGGCTTCCAGTTAGATATAGGGCCCAATTCAAAATTCTGGCGCTTGCTTACAAGTCCCTACATAATGCTGCTCCAACATACCTATCTTCCCTCACACACAAGTATGTCCCGACGAGACCCCTGCGCTCAGCCCAAGACCTACTCCTATCCTCTGCCCGGATCCCCACCTCTGATGCTCGCCTTCAAGACTTGTCCAGGACTGCACCTATTCTGTGGACCTCCCTTCCCTCCTCAATCAGACTTTCACCCAGCCTCCATTCCTTCAAAAAATCTTTGAAAACTCACTTCTTTATTAAAGCGTATCAATTAAACTGTCAGCAGGTTTCTCATCCCCCACCCCATGACTCCGTTCCTTCACCTGTCAAAAATGACCTACCAAGCACTCAATAAACCCTTCTGTAACAAACTATTTAATTCCCCTACTTTAACCCTTTGTGTCACTATACCCCACTCCCTCTAGCATGTAAGCTCATCGAGCAGGGCCCTCAACCCCCTCTGTTCCTGTATGTCAGTGGTCCGATCTCAATTATGTGTCTGTTAGTCCACCCATTGTACAGCGCTACGGAATTTGTTGGCGCTATATAAGTAATAAAATAATAATAATAATAATAAACAGTTTTTAACCTCTGGTGAGCAAAACGGTCTGTTACAATTGGTGGCAAGCGACGGGATCATTTCCACAGCCCAGAAGGACAGCTATAATACAACACCAGTTCCTGGATTACAAATTGAGGGCAATGCTAGTACCCGTACAGCGACCCTATCTACAAAAGGAACCAACTTCGACAGAGCAAGCATGGCGCCTGGCTACACTCAGGAGCAGTTTGACAGAGAGGTTAATGTGGTGCTGTCTGTCTATGGACCCAACCCCTCAGAGAGATCCGTACAGCACGTCAAGAAAATAATAGGAGAATACCTGCAATTCCTAGCAGATTTGGCTAGGGGGGAGAGACCCCAGTGGCTGAGTAAGTCCCAGGGAGCTGAAGGTGCCGTCCTTCCTACCCAGCGGCAGTGTGAGTTACAGGGAGCTGAAGGTGCCGTCCTTCCTCCCCAGCGGCAGTGTGTGTCCCAGGGAGCTGAAGGTGCCGTCCTTCCTCCCCAGCGGCAGTGTGAGTTACAGGGAGCTGAAGGTGCCGTCCTTCCTCCCCAGCGGCAGTGTGAGTTACAGGGAGCTGAAGGCGCCGTTCTTCCTCCCAAGCGGCAGTGTGTGTCCCAGGGAGCGGAAGGTGCCGTCCTTCCTCCCCAGCGGCAGTGTGTGTCCCAGGGAGCTGAAGGTGTCGTCCTTCCTCCCCAGCGGCAGAGTGTCCTGCCAGGAGCAGAGACAGTCGGTCTTGCACCCCAGCAGCAGAGAGAGTGTCAGTGAGAGGAACCTGCTACCCCCTCTCCCCAGCAGCTGAAAGGATTCCAGGGAGAGGAGTCGGTGACCACCTCTTACCAGCGGCAGCTTATGTCACAAAGGGGAGACCCTATCCTCCCAGATGGGGCAGATGAGGCAGTCGGTCTTGGCCCCCAGCAGCAGGACAATATATTGAAAGGGGAGACAGTTGGTCCCCCCCTCCACCAGCAGAGAGTGAGTCATGGAGAGGAGCTTGTCATTCCCTCTCCCCAGCGATAATAAGTGGGTAAGGGAGATGAACTTGTTAACCCCTCTCCCCAGCAGCAGCCTAGCCCACCAAGGGGAGATGATAAGCCACACACCCGTGCAGATGGGACCGTGGTCTCTGCCCATGCCTCACAGGGGCTAGGGACGGTAGGTCCTGTCCCCCGGCAGCAGGGATGTTCATCCAAAGGGGAGACAGCCTGTCGTGCCCTCCAGCAGCAGTACCGGGTCCAGAGTGAGGAGCGTACTATGCCGTTCCCTCGACTGGGCTCCAACCAAACTACTTACAGGGTAGCGCTGGCAACAGGGCAGAGTACCGCTGGTCTCTGCCCACTCAGCAACCCACCGATCCGGAGCGCCAGTAAACCCCAGAGTCGAGGTGGAGCTCCTGGACAGGGACAAGCGACCCACTACCCCAGGTGTAGTAACTCTTTATTGTGGGTGGGCTGTACTGCTGATGGTGTTCTGTGGGTGGGTTGCTGGACTAACCAGGGCACTGACCGACAGGAGGTCAGATACCCTCTTAGTCTGGATGGTAAAGGGGAGAAATGTGGCGAAAGCCGCCTCGCCACTGGACATTGGAGAGGCCTGGCTGCCCGCCTCCCACCTGCTGACTATGGCCCCTGGTGAATTTGTACTTTTGAATGCAATATTTGGGCATGTGGTATTTTATATTGCTGCTACTAGCCCTTTAAGGGCCATCCGTGGACATATTATGACTGTTAGGAACAATGCCCTTTAAGACTGTGTAGCAGATTGCATTCAGGCTGTATTTAATATTATGTGTTCGGTAAACAGTGTTATGTGTATGCAGCATTCGTCTGATTGTTTGGTAGAATCACTCCATTCATTATATTGATATTTTGGATCAACAGCAAAAAACAAATGTGAGGAAGGCTGAACTTGATGCTGCCTGCTGCCTGCCTGGGTCCATTGGATCCAAGAGGAGAAATTATATGGATAACAGTGTGTGGTATTGGTGGAATATCTTGTGTATGAATAATTTCGTGTAATATCGTTGCTAAGGCCAGTAAGGTTTTGTCATGTATAAATAGGGGCATAAATTCTCGGGATGAAAATATAATTTTGCCTCTTTATAAATCGCTGGTAAGACCCCACCTTGAATATGCTGTGCAATTTTTGGCACCTGTTCTAAAGAAGGATATCATGGCACTGGAGAGGGTCCAGAGACGAGCTACAAAATTGATAAAAAGAATGGAGCATTTTAGTTATGAAGAAAGGTTAAAAAAATTAAATCTGTTTAGTTTGGAAAAACGGTGCCTGAGAGGGGATATGATAACCTTATACAAATATATTCGGGGCCAGTACAAACCTTTATCTGGAAATCTATTCATAAACAGGGCTATACATAGGACACAAGGTCACACATTTAGGCTGGAAGAAAGGAGATTTAGTCTAAGGCAAAGAAAAGTTTTTTTTACAGTAAGAACAATAAGGATATGGAATTCTCTGCCTGAAGAGGTGGTTTTGTCAGAGTCCATACAGATGTTTAAACTGAAATTGGATAAATACTTACAAAAACATAACATACAGGGATATAATTTCTAATTAGTGGGGTAATAGCTGCTAGATCCAAGGAGACATCTGACTGCTATTTTGGGGTCAAGAAGGAATTTTTTCCTAGTTTGTGGCAAAATTGATAGCGCTTCAGACCAGGTTTTTTTGCCTTCTTTTGGATCATCAGCAAAAACATTTGTGAGGAAGGCTGAACTTGATGGACGCAAGTCTCTTTTCAGCTATGTAACTATGTAACTATGTAACCTATGGAACAGTCTTTGTTTTGTTTTCTGCAAGATCTGTGGGTCGTTGACCTCTGATCAATGCCAATATCGTTCATACACAATGGGTGATATTGTTTTAACCGGTGTTGGGTTGTAATTGATGGATGTGTGCATGTCTATTATATTCTCAAGCAGCACATGCTGCAAACTGGTTATTGTTCATCTTGATTATTAATAACCCTTTGATAGATGTTGCATGGGTGTGATTGATGTGTGTATTTTCTGCCTTTTTAGATATGCAATACATTCCCATTTCTCCTGAAACTTCCGTTTATGAAACACAAGGTATATAAAGACATTTTTGATATACACCACTTTGTCAGAAAGCAGATTTCTCGTCACAGAGAGACCTTGGACACAAACTCGCCCAGAGATCTCCTGGATTATTTCCTGGTGAAGCTAAAAGAGGTAAATTTATTCCTTACTGAGAAACATACGCACAGTCTGGTTCTATACCGAAGGAGAAATATTGAAATAACATAATGCTAGTTCTTTGTGCGTTGATGGCTTTCTCTGCAAAATAATTCTACGGAACTTTTTGATGCAGAACTGCAGATATATATACTGTATCCGCTTCTGTCAAAGACAAGGTTTACATTAACTGTGGGCAATTCTGGTCAAAATGAAGGAGCATTTGTGACGCGACCTTTTAACACAAATGCCCGAAATAAATAAATAAACATGATTGAAGAACACACTCTAGTAATAATTACTTTGATCAATTAATAGAATTATAGAGTTTTTGATGTTTTTTATATGTTGTGTTTCCCCAGGAGGAGTTAAATACAGGAAGCATTTTCAATGACACCAGCCTTATAGTTTTGATGAGCGGTTTACTGGCTGCAGCCACTGATACCACAAGTAGCACCCTAAAGTTCTGCCTTGTTGTCATGACCCACTTCCCAGAAATCCAAGGTAAGATGGGCGTTATGGCCTTCACTGTTACAGAATATATTGATGTAACATGTAATCTGTCATGTAAAGACGCAAAATACATTCAGTTCAATTTACTAAATGGCAGTAAAATCATTGGCGTTGCACCAGGAAGTCCGTTAAGATTTGTAATATTTACAGCGCAAACCCTGCCTTCTGAGCATATCTCAGCTAAGTCAGGGCATCGGTCGGAGTTTCTGAAGAATTTCAGGTATCCAGGGACATGTATATTGCATCTGCCACTTGAATCGCTTGAATTGGTGATCTCTACAGTCTATTTTCACTATAGGAATTATTTATTTTAATAGTTTCAGAAGGGTATTATGAATTTTATTTTACGGACATTTTTATGGCTGATGAACAACAAAGAAGATTGAAAGCAAGATTAAATAATGAAGAAAGGAGATTAAGGAGAAGTACATCATACAAGATATAAACAAGTAAATATTTTTACAGGTAGGTATTCAGGGGGAGAGCGGATGGCTAGGTTCGGGTCCCCTATCCATTTGGTGTCAGGGATTGCACACAATCTGGCTCTATTAAGATGTATTAGAGCCAAATATAACTACTTATGATTCCTTATTCCTTATAAATGTCAGCATGAGCCAAAAGCTTTAGATCCATAATATAAACAACCCAAAGGGCAAACAAAATCTCAAAGGACATGAATCCAGGTTCTTATAGAGACCAATAGCCAGCAGACAACATAAACAAAATAAAAAAGATCTGAAATTATGATCATATCAGATTAAATGAACCACACTAATCACAAACTATCTAAAGGGACAAAAACTAATTCAGTAAAATGAATGAACAATTGCTAAAAGCACATAGAGAAGTTCATGATTAAACCCAGAAACTCCAGAAATGTGACCACACAGCTTGAGGGAATAAATAAATATAGCAATATATAAAGAGCAATAGAAAATCTGAAACCGGTTTCTTTGAAGGGCTTTGGCAATGAATAGATTAAAAATGTGGTTGAGTTTATCATGTTGTGGGGACTTTTGTCCCAGGGGGCCGACAACCCCTGTGACCCTCATCCTATGCTACCTCTTCCTGCTTCACATGGTGCTCCTGAGACTCTGTTATATGGGAGGTGGGGTTCATATAGTTGGCAGTTCCTCCACCTGACTGGGCATCCAGGCCATGGATGGGTTTCCCAGACTGGAAGATAATAAATCCCATACACAGCAGTAACCGTAAAACCGAATGAACATGTATTAAAGGATAATGGCAGATACAAGTAAAGCAAGTAATACAGTGACTGACTAAACACACCAAAATCTGTCTAACCAGGCAGCTCAAACTGGATTCACTTAGCTCCATGGCTCAGTCACTGAATCAGGGTGCAGCTGGCAGCTCACACTGGATTCACTCAGCTCCACGGCTCTGTCACTGGATCAGGGTGCAGCTGGCAGCTCAAACTGGATTCACTCAGCTCCACGGCTCTGTCACTGGATCAGGGTGCAGCTGGCAGCTCAAACTGGATTCACTCAGCTCCACGGCTCTGTCACTGGATCAGGGTGCAGCTGGCAGCTCACACTGGATTCACTCAGCTCCACGGCTCTGTCACTGGATCAGGGTGCAGCTGGCAGCTCACACTGGATTCACTCAGCTCCACGGCTCTGTCACTGGATCAGGGTGCAGCTGGCAGCTCACACTGGATTCACTCAGCTCCACGGCTCTGTCACTGGATCAGAGTGCAGCTGGCAGCTCACACTGGATTCACTCAGCTCCACGGCTCTGTCACTGGATCAGGGTGCAGCTGGCAGCTCAAACTGGATTCACTCAGCTCCACGGCTCTGTCACTGGATCAGGGTGCAGCTGGCAGCTCAAACTGGATTCACTCAGCTCCACGGCTCTGTCACTGGATCAGGGTGCAGCTGGCAGCTCACACTGGATTCACTCAGCTCCACGGCTCTGTCACTGGATCAGGGTGCAGCTGGCAGCTCACACTGGATTCACTCAGCTCCACGGCTCTGTCACTGGATCAGGGTGCAGCTGGCAGCTCACAACTGGATTCACTCAGCTCCACGGCTCTGTCACTGGATCAGGGTGCAGCTGGCAGCTCACACTGGATTCACTCAGCTCCACGGCTCTGTCACTGGATCAGAGTGCAGCTGGCAGCTCACACTGGATTCACTCAGCTCCACGGCTCTGTCACTGGATCAGGGTGCAGCTGGCAGCTCAAACTGGATTCACTCAGCTCCACGGCTCTGTCACTGGATCAGGGTGCAGCTGGCAGCTCACACTGGATTCACTCAGCTCCACGGCTCTGTCACTGGATCAGAGTACATCTGGCAGCTCACACTGGATTCACTCAGCTCCACGCCTCTGTCACTGGATCAGAGTACATCTGGCAGCTCACACTGGATTCACTCAGCTCCACGGCTCTGTCACTGGATCAGGGTGCAGCTGGCAGCTCACACTGGATTCACTCAGCTCCACAGCTGACAGCTCACACTGGATTCACTCAGCTCCACGGCTCTGTCACTGGATCAGGGTGCAGCTGGCAGCTCACACTGGATTCACTCAGCTCCACGGCTCTGTCACTGGTTCAGGGTGCAGCTGCAAAAATGTGAGGGGCTACGTTATTATTACTTACATAGCACCAACATTTTCTGCAGTGATGTACCATTATAAAATGGGAATATTTGACAAGTAATTGACAGCATATTAAAAGACAAGAGGCTCATGTTATTTATCAGGGGAATGCAGTGTTTACATTGCAGCCTAGGAACACCTACACTGGCTGCTTCCTGGGGCAGTGTTGCACAATGTGACTGACCCTCTGAATACAGACACTGAACTTTCCTCTAAAGATTTATTGATTCAATGTATATTTGAGGAGATGCTGATTGGCCAGGGCTGTGTTTGGTTTGTGCTGGCTCTACCCCTGATTTGCCTCCTTGACAGTCTCAGCCAAGCCTAGGCTTTAGTATAGTTAAGCATTGTGATTGGCTGAGATCATCACTTCTGATTATATCAGCCAAGCAGGCAGATCAGGGGTGGTGCAGCAGCCCGGAATAAAGGGAAGATTTTACCATATTTAGGGCAAGAAGTGATTTTAACCCTATAGGGACAGGAATATGTTTGTGTTCCTGAACCTATAGTGTTCCTTTAAAAAAAATAAAAAAAATTTTTTAGGATAGAATAAATTATTGCATGATTAAAGGAATATGGGAAAATGACAGTAGATCATCTCTCCTTACTATATGCTGAGCAACAAACACGATTTTCCTTTGCTTATTATATAGGTTGCTTGGCCATATGTTTCATGTTACACAAAGTATAATTGTGCCCAAAAAGCTGACTTGTGGCCTGTGGCGAAAGTGACCTCGCCACTGGTTTTTGGAGGGGCCTGTTTGCCAGCCTCCTGCCCTGCCACTATGGTCCTGGGATGTATTGCCCTTTAAGGAACTGATTTGGGCATATTGTATTTTATTATGCTGTTGCTGGCCCTTTAAGAAACATCTAGGGACATACTGCGGAGTTAGTGGGTGGCCATCATTTCATGTATCAGAGGCACATGGTGAGACCAATGGATAAAGCACATGGTGAGAACAATGGATGGCGGCCATTTTAACTCACATACACTGTTTGGACTTTTCTACACGGTGCCATCTCGCCGGTATTTGGTGCACAAAGACATTGTGCAATAGTTTTAAACTATACAACAGGGGACACATTTAACAGTAATTATTTTTCATATAATCTGTATATTTTCTGCGGAATCTGCATTAAACCGTATCTTCTAAACTACTGAACAGATCTGGGTGAATTTTGGATATGTGGTTCACCCAGATGCCCCGGTTCCGATCTATTTTTATGGGGTGATTGCATGTTTTGGGGTCCCTGTGATATGTTTTATAATACTGTATTTTCCTGCCTGTGATAATTAAGTTAGTCTATAGTGTTGAGATAATTGTATTACAGGCAGAGGGGAGGATTTCTGATGTAATGAATGGGAGTGTTAGCTGTGTTATAATGTGTTGATTGGTTGTATTTCAAAACCCTGTGGGCAGTACTATGTTTGTAGAATGTGAATAAAAGAGGCTGTATGTGCCAGTACAGTCAGTTCTACTTCACCCTCAATCTAGAGTCCTGTCTCTTATTGGGGAAATTTGCTATATCACTACAAGGGATTGCTCTGCATACTCCCTTAGCTAATCACTACTAAGCTCTTTTAAGAGCTTGTTCCTGCTTCACTCTCTTGGAGGAGAGGTTACATAGTTACATAGCTGAAAAGAGACTTGCGTCCATCAAGTTAAGCCTTCCTCACATTTGTTTTTTGCTGTGATCCAAAAGAAGGCAAATAAAAACCCAGTTTGAAGCACAATTTTGCGACAAGCTAGGAAAAAAATTCCTTCTTGACCCCAGAATGGCAGTCAGATTTATCCTTGGCAGGGCCGGATTAACATAGGGGCTGATGGAGCTGCAGCTCCAGGCCCAGGCCCATGGAATAGGCCCATTTAAAAAAAAAAAAATTATTATTTTTTTTTTACACACTACCCTTAGGTTTGCCACCTGACTGCTATTTTACTGGCACAGCCGGTATGTGAGGCTGCCTGGCCGTGACGGTATTGCAGTAATACCGGCAATACAAATGCAGGTAATTTTCTCAGAATAAATGGAGATTACCCTGCAATACCAGCACCGGCCAGTAGGGGTCACTGTGTGTGGAGAGAGGCAGGGATAGGAAGTTGCAGAATATCCCTGCCTCTCTCTACTACTCACTGATCCGTGGGGGAGCAGCAACACAGCACAGAGTCCAGACAGCAGCTCTACAGCTCAGGTAAGTGAGGGATGGGGGGAAAGGCAGCAGGTACACATGGGGACACTGAGACAATAGGGGACATATGGGGACACTAGGGGACACAGACACTAGGGGACACATGAGGACACAGACACTAGGGGACACTGAGACACTAAGACACAGACACTGGGAGACCTGGGAACACTGAGACACTAGGGGACACATGGGGACACAGACACTAGAGGACACTGAGACACTAGGACACATGGGGACACAGACACTGGGAGACCTGGGTACACTGGAAAACATGGGGACACTGAGACACTATGGGACACTGGGACACATGGGGATGCTGTGAGACATAGGGACATTGGGAGACATTGGGACACGGAGACACTATGTTCCCATGTCCCCCAGCCAGTGTCCCTAGTGTCTCAGTGTCCCCAAGTCTCCCAGTGTCTGTGTCCCATGTCTCTCAGTGTGCCTAGTGTCCCCATGTGTCCCTATTGTCCCAGTGTCCCCATGTCTATGTCCACAACTGTCCCCATGTGTCCCCAAATGTCTGTCTCCCAGCCAGTGTCCCCTAGTCTCCCAGTATCCCCTAGTCTCTCAGTGCCTGTGTCCCTAGTGTCTTAGTGTCCCCAAATGTTTCAGTGTCCCCATGTCTCCCAGTGTCTGTGTCCCTAGAGTCTTAGTGTCCCCAAATGTTTCAGTGTCCCCATGTCTCCCAGTGTCTGTGTTCCTAGTGTCTCAGTGTGCCTGGTGTCCCCATGTCTCCCAGTGTCCCTATATGTCCCAGTGTCCCCATGTCTATGTCCCCAAGTGTCTGTCTCCCAGTGTCCCCTAGTCTCTGTGTCCCCTAGTCTCCCAGTGTCTGTGTTCCCATGTCTCTGTGTTCCTAGTGTCTTAGTGTCCCCAAATGTTTCAGTGTCCCCATGTATCCCAGTGTCTGTGTCCCTAGTGTCTCAGTGTCCCCATTTCTCCCAGTTTCCCTAAATGTCTATGTGTCCCCATGTCTCTGTGTCCTCATGTCTCTGTGTCCCCGGGTCTCTCAGTGTCCCCATGTCTCTCAGTGTGCCCAGCATCCTAGTGACATGGGGACACACTTCTCCCAGTGTCCCAATGTCTCAATGGGGACACAGACACTGGGAGACTAGGGGACACTGACACTGTGATACATAGGGACACTGAGACACTGGGTAACTTGTGAGACTGAGACACTGGGAGACAGGGAGACACTGGGAGCAATCCATCTATACAGCAGAATCAAACTGTGAGTAGCTTGTTGGTGATTTTACAGAATTTTCTCTGCTGTCACTCCTTGTGATTTACATCATGTGATGTCACGCATAACTAATTAATTATACAAATGATTAAGGCTGGTATTTTTTTCCAAGAAAGGTGGCAACCTTAACTACTCTTCACATATTCTTGCTTAAAGGAACACTATAGGGTCAGTAACACAATCATGTATTTCTGACCCTATTATGTTAAAACCACCACCCTGGCCCCTTCTTGCCTCCCTAAATATAGTAAAATATTACTTGTATTCAAGTCTGCAGCAGCTGGCTCAGAAGTGGTGGTCTGAGCAAATAACAATGCTTCCCCCATAGGATTGGCTGAGACTGTCAACTAGGCAGATCAGGGGAAGAACCAGCACAAGTCCAACATAGCCCTGGCCAATCAGCATCTCCTCATAAAGATAAATTGAATCAATGCATCTCTATGAGGAAAGTTCAGTGTCTGCATGCAGAGGGTGGAGACACTGAATGGCAGTGCTGCAGACTAGGCAGTACTGCCCCATGAAGCACCTCTAGCAGCCATCTAAGGAGCGGCCAGTGGAGTTATTTTCTCTGGAAAGACAGTGTTTACTGCAAAAAGCCTCAATGGAATGCTTCTACTTACCAGAACAAATACAATAAGCTGTAGTTGTTCTGGTGACTATAGTGTCCCTTTAAGTTTGGAAGCTTAAGAGGGATGTATGGAAACAAAACTTGTGTGGCTGGCTGACATTAAAATTAATTTAGGTAATGCAGATGTTGGTCTCTGTGGCATGTCCCCTTTCTTCTACACTCACTACATACACCTTTTCTCTCTCTCAGACTAAATACCAGGAACTTCTGCCTGCTAGTAAGAAGGTAAGGAGACAAGTGGACCAGCGAGTGCTAGGGGAAAGTCCTTGGAAAGCATGGAGTGAGCGCATTATTAGACGCATTTATGTCAAGCTCAATGTGCTGCCTGCATAGTATGCCCTTAGTTGGACAGCCTGCAGGATTGGCAGGCAGCCTGCCATGCATTCATGCCAGACTGTCCTTCCAATTCTTTGGACAAACATGCCCCCTTTTTGGCAGGTCTTGTCACGTGATTCGTGCCAGTGGCACACCCTTTTACCCCGCCCATTGACTTCCTGCTTCACTGGACACTGCTGTTAGGGGTTATGGATTTACTTGAAAGATGAAAGCATAAATTAGAGAGAAATTAGCATAGGGTATGTGTTTTCTTATAGCTGCATTCTATGAGTTTCCCTCCAGCACCATCTCCATCAGATACATGACGCTTGGGAGGTATGACTGTTTTAGTGTTTTTGGTCGATAAGATTCCGTAATTAGGCCCATCATTATTGTCAGCACCAGGCCCACTGTGCTCTTAATCCGGCCCTGATCCTTGGATCAAGCAGTTATTACCCTACATTGAAAGATTATATCCTTGAATATGCTGTTTTTACAAGTATGCATCTAGTAGCTGTTTGAACATCTGTATGGACTCTGATAAAACCACTTCTTCAGGCTGAGAATTCCACATCCTGATTGTTCTTACAGTAAAAAATCCTTTCCTTTGCCTTAGACAAAATCTTCTTTTTTCCAGTCTAAACGCATGGCCTCGTGTCCTATGTAAAGTCCGGTTTGTAAATAGATTTCCACACAATGGTTTGTATTGGCCCCGAATATATTTGTATAATGTTATCATATCCCCTCTCAGGCGACGTTTTTCTAAACTAAATAGGTTTAAATTTGTTAACCTTTCTTCATAGCCGATATGTTCCATTCCTTTTATTAATTTTGTAGCCCGCCTCTGCACTTTTTCTAGTGCCATAATATCCTTCTTTAGAACAGGTGCCCAAAATTGCACAGTATATTCAATATGGGGTCTTACCAGTGATTTATAAAGAGGCAAAATGATATTCTTGTCCCGAGAATGAATGCCCTTTTTCATGCATGACAATACCTTACTGGCCTTGGCCACTGCTGATTGACATTGCACATTGTTGCATAGTTTGTTGTCTATAGCAATTCCCAAGTCCTTTTCGTGTGTTGTTATCCCTAATTCACTTCCATTAAGGGTATACGTTGTTTGTGTATTCTTTACGCCGAAGTGCATAACTTTGCATTTTTCAACATTAAATTTCATCTGCCATTTGAGTGCCCAGTTCCCCAGTCTATCTAAATCCCTCTGCAGCAAAGTAATATCTTGCTCACATTGTATTGTTTTACAAAGTTTGGTGTCATCTGCAAACACTGAAACATGACTTTCAATGCGGTCTTCAAGATAATTTATAAACATGTTAAATCGAAGGGGTCCCAGAACAGACCCCTGAGGGACACCACTTGCCACCTCTGTCCAGCTTGAAAATGTACTATTAATGACAACTCTTTGTACTCTGTTTTTAAGCCAATGTTCTACCCAAGAACAAGCATTTTCATCTAGACTGATTTCCTTGAGTTTGAACACTAATCTATTGTGTGGAACTGTATCAAATGCCTTGGCAAAATCCAAATAGATCACATCCACGGCGACACCCTGATCTATACTTCTACTTACTTCTTCGTAGAACGCAATCAAGTTAGTTTGACATGACCTGTACTTCATAAAACCGTGCTGATTTTTGCTGATAACCATGTTTTTCTCAGGGAATTCTTGAATATTATCCCTTAATAACCTTTAAAATACTTTTCCAGCCACAAAAGTTAAGCTCACAGATCTATAATTTCCAGGCAAGGGTTTTGAACCCTTTTTGAATATAGGAACTGTAACGGAGCTCCCTGTACTCCGACCGAGTACCCTCCGTTGACGGATGCTCCTAGCGCTTCCTGAGGACTCCAAGCACTGCAGCAGACACCGCAAACACCGCAACCACCGCAGACTCCGCAACTGCCGTATCTTGACTGGAGTCTCGCCGTCTTCCTTCCACCCTGGATCAGCTGCTGTCCTCCAGGACTGTGTGGGAAAGAACTCTTCCGTCCACCCTGTATGAACCTCCAGCATCCAGGACTTTGTGGTGAAGACCCCTCCTCCAAGCAGAGTGTGTCAGGAACAAGCTCTTAAAAGAGCTAAGTGATTCAAGCTCAGGGGAGCATTCAGAGCATAGCAATCCCCAGTGTGATTATAACAGCTCCCTCCAATAACGAGACAAGGCAACGTTTAGAGGAATCAAGAAGAACTGTCAAAACCTTTATTTCCCTTGGGACCAGCCAGTAGGGTCACCACAATAACATTGTTGTGAAACCTCAATAAAATCACAAACAGTCAAACCATATCAAGAAACACACAGTGACTTATCACAACACAATGGCACATTTTAAAGGGGTGGGGGGAGACAATATTTAACAGTAAATATCTCACCTGCCTGCAGAATTAGCAATATGCAAATCTACCCGAATATGCAAATGAACCAGTTTTGCAATTCAGGTAGTGCATATTGCTGTTGCTACCAACAGAGGGCACTAGACAAGCTCCATAGCCAAACCCACCTAGTTGGTAGCAAACCTCAGCAATACAAGAGAGCAGGCAATACATTACACAATACACACACACACTATAAACAATTACATTACACACACCATGCACCTATAATGGGTACAGGGTGACTAAAACATAAGATAAATAAAGCAGCCTACATAAATAGTTTGTCTGAAGGTAGACTAGGGGCTTTAAAGCCAGATACATGAAAGAGTCATAGTCACGGGGGAGGAGGCTGGCAAGTAGGCCTCTCCAGGACCAAGTGGCGAAGGGCACTTCATCACATATCTCCCCTTCGGGGGGAAGACTAACCAGGCACCTGACTTTCTGTCGGTCAGTGCCTAAGTTAGTCGAGTCACCCACCGACCATAAGCAAGTGCCAGAGTAGCCCACCCACAACAAATAGTTATTAGAGCAGCCCACCCACAGCAAACAGTGACTGCACCTGGGTATTCCTCTGGGGTGATGGGGCAACACGCTGTGGGGACTTGAGGGGCAGAGGCCAGCGGCGCTCTGCCCTGATGCCAGCGCTTCTGCTGGGAGGAGGGGGGTGCAGGCCAGTCCTGTGACAAGGGGATCGGTAGGGCAGAGGCCAGGGGCGGTCTGCCCTGATGCTAGCTCTTCTGCTGGTATAGCCTGCAGGACATCAGGCTCTGGACAAGGGACAAAGGGAGGGCAGAGGCCGACTGCACTCTGCCCAGCTGCCAGCTCTTCCGCTGGGGGGCTTGGGACATAGTCCGGCTCAGTAGCCAGGGGAACGTGGGGGTCAGTGGGGGTTAACATCTCCCCTGTTAACCCTGGGGCCAAGTTAGGAGTTAGCTGGGGAGGGGAATTCGTACTTACCCCCTCCTCCTGTTGTCCCTGTGAGGGTAGTTGGGGATCTGGACAGGCTGTCCAGCATCCCTGTAGGTCGGGCACAGAGACCACGGTCCCCTCTGCGCCATCTGGGAGATTGGTGTCTCCCCTTGGTAGGGTAAGCTGCCGCTGGGGAGATAGGGTGCTGTGCTCCTCTCCCTGAAACACAGGCTGCCGCTGGAGAGGGAGACCGCCTGTCTCCACTCCCATAACATTGTCCTGCTGCTGGAGAGAGAGACCAACTGTCTCTGCTCCCTGTAGGACACACTGCTGCTGGGGGGGAAGGACGACACCTTCGGCCCCCTGGAATTCGCACTGCCGCTGGGGAGGAAGGACGACACCTTCGGCTCCCTGTAACTTGCACTGCCGCTGGGGAGGAAGGACGACACCTTCGGCTCCCTGTAACTTGCACTGCCGCTGGGGAGAGAGACCAACTGTCTCTGCTCCCTGTAGGACACACTGCCGCTGGGGGGGAAGGACGACACCTTCGGCCCCCTGGAATTCGCACTGCCGCTGGGGAGGAAGGACGACACCTTCGGCTTCCTGTAACTTGCACTGCCGCTGGGGAGGAAGGACGACACCTTCGGCTCCCTGTAACTTGCACTGCCGCTGGGGAGGAAAGACGACACCTTCGGCTCCCTGTAACTTGCACTGTCGCTGGAGACTAGGTGTCCATATCCTCAACCTCCACAGTTTTCGCTCAAAGGCCATTGCCGCACTGTTCTCAGCACTCAACTGGCGCATTACTTGGTGGACCACCTCGTTCGAAAGGTCTGGGCCATAGCAGACCAACCGCCTCTTTACCTCCTCAATGTAAGCGTCGTCCTCGTAGCGACGTATCATGTTGAGGTGCTCTTCGCAGGGCTCTATCCATCCCTGCTCCATGCTGCTGTAGTTAGGGACGCTGCACAGTGGCTAGCGTTGCCCTCAATAACCTCTCATACGATACCAGTGTCTCCGAGCTGCTTCTCCTCGCACTAGGACGCCATCCCACCGCTGCCACCAATGTAACGGAGCTGCCTGTACTCCGACCGAGTACCCTCCGTTGACGGACGCTCCTAGCGCTTCCTGAGGACTACAAGCACTGCAGCAGACACCGCAACCACCGCAGACTCCGCAACTGCCGTATCTTGACTGGAGTCTCGCCGTCTTCCTTCCACCCTGGATCAGCTGCTGTCCTCCAGGACTGTGTGGGAAAGAACTCTTCCTTCCACTCTGTATGAACCTCCAGCATCTAGGACTGTGTGGTGAAGACCCCTCCTCCAAGGAGAGTGTGTCAGGAACAAGCTCTTAAAAGAGCTAAGTGATTCAAGCTCAGGGGAGCATGTAGAGCATAGCAATCCCCAGTGTGATTATAACAGCTCCCTCCAATAACGAGACAAGGCTACGTTTAGAGGGATCAAGAAGAACTGTCAAAACCTTTATTTCCCTTGGGACCAGCCAGTAGGGTCACCACAATAACATTGTTGTGAAACCTCAATAAAATCACAAACAGTCAAACCATATCAAGAAACACACAGTGACTTATCACAACACAATGGCACATTTTTAAAGGGGTGGGGGAAGACAATATTTAACAGTAAATATCTCACCTGCCTGCAGAATTAGTAATATGCAAATCTACCCGAATATGCAAATGAACCAGTCTTGCAATTCAGGTAGTGCATATTGCTGTTGCTAACAACAGAGGGCACTAGACAAGCTCCATAGCCAAACCCACCTAGTTGGTAGCAAACCTCAGCAATACAAGAGAGCAGGCAATACATTACACAGCACACACACACACTATAAACAATTACATTACACACACCCTGCACCTATAATGGGTACAGGGTGACTAAAACATAAGATAAATAAAGCAGCCTACATAAATAGTCTGTCTGAAGGTAGACTAGGGGCTTTAAAGTGAAAGAGTCATAGTCACGGGGGAGGAGGCTGGCAAGTAGGCCTCTCCAGGACCAAGTGGCGAAGGGCACTTCGTCACAGGAACCACATCTGCCTTCTTCCAATCCTCTGGAACACTTCCTGAAAGAAAAGAATCTTGAAAGATTAAAAACATAGGTTCACTTATTTCTACACTTAGTTCCTTAAGTACACGTGAATGGATACCGTCAGGCCCCGGTGCTTTGTTTATATTAACTTTCTTTAGTTGCTGCAGCACCTTGTCTTGAGTTAACCAATTTCAATTATTCTGCAAGTTTTTAGTAGCAATCATTTGCACATCTATTGCCGTGGGTTCTTCCTTAAAATATACGGAGGAGAAATAGTTATTTAAAATTCCTGCCTTTTCCTGGTCTTCATTAACTAACACCCCCGTTTCAGTTTTTAGTGTACCTACACTTTCATTTTTGAGTTTTTTTTTTAATTTATGTACTTAAAAAATGCTTTGGGGTTGGTTTTGCTCTCTTTAGCTATCATTTTTTCATTTTGAAGTTTAGCAACTCTAATTGCCTTTTTGCACGCATTATTTGCTTTCTTATATCTTTTATAAGATGCATCCGATTTGTCCGATTTAAATGCTTTAAATGCCCTTTTCTTATTTTTAATCTCTTGTTTTACTTCTCTACTAAGCCACATTGGTTTTAATTAGTTTCTTTTATATTTATTTCCCAATGGTACATACTGAGAAATGTTTTTGAGTTTATTTCAAAGGACACTATATTGTGATCACTATTTCCCCAGTGCTCACCTACTTGAATGTTGGTCAAAAGGTCAATGTTGTTTGTTAAAACCAGGTCCAGACAAGTGTCCATTCTAGTTGGTGCTTGTACAAGTTGTGACATGAAGGTGTAATTTAACAAATTTAAAAACCTAATTCCCTTTGCTGAGCTACTAGTCCCTCTGTCCCAATTTATATCCGGGTAATTAAAATCTCCAATAATTAAAGTGTTACCCAGATTTGCAGCTTTCTCAATTTGCTCAAACAGCTGTTGTTCCTCCTCAATATTAACATTAGGTGGTTTATAACATATCCTAACCAATAGTTGGTTTCCCTTCTTTTCCCCCAAGCAGATATTTACCCATAAAGCTGCCACATTTTCCTCATTGCATTCCATTTGCTTAAGATTTGGCTTTAAATCATGGTTGACATACAAACATACCCCACCACCCTTCTTGTTTTTCCTATCCTTCCTAAATAACATGTACCCATTTAAGTTAACTGCCCAGTCATGTGTCTCATCCCACCATGTTTCTGTTATGCCTATTATATCATATTGTTTAGTGTATGCTAATGCCTCTAGTTCCCCCATTTTGTTATTTAGGCTCCTTGCATTAGTAAGCATACATTTAATATTATGCGTCACTTGTATATTTTGTGAATTATCATTATCCCCCCGTCTCCACCTCCCTAATACTGTGCTAAAGCCCATATCCTTTCTGTCCTATATCCATGTTGCAGATTGCTATGACCCTCCCCCCCTACTACTAGTTTAAAATCTCCTCCAACCTTCTAGCTATCCTATCCCCCAGCACTGCAGACCCTCTCCCGTTTAGGTGCAATCCATCACCACTATAAAGGTTGTACCCAATCGCAAAGTCAGCCCAGTGCTCTAAAAACCCAAAACCCTCCTTCCTGCACCAAGACTTAAGCCACGCATTGACCTCTCTAATCTCCCGCTGCCTTTCCACTGTAGCACGTGGCACAGGTAATATCTCAGAGAATACCACCTTGGAGGTCCTTTTCTTAAGTTTGCTACCTAATTCCCTGAAATCATTCTTTAGGACCTTCCATCTTCCTCTTACTTTGTCATTGGTACCAACATGGACCATGACCGCTGGGTCATCCCCAGCCCCTCCCAATAATCCATCCACTCTGTCAGCAACATGCCGGACCCGAGCACCCGGGAGACAGCAAACTGTCCGGTTGAGCCGATCAGAGCGGCAGATTGCCCTATCTGCTCTCCTAATGATAGAGTCCCCTACCACCACAACCTGTCTTGCCTTCCTTATATTTTGATCCCCACCCGTACTAGGGGGGCTGTTAGCTCGGCTGTTAGAAGTAACAGCTTCCTCTAATGCAGCTACTCCTGAGCTGATGCTCCCAACATCTTCCCTCAAACGGGCAAATCTGCTAGGTTGCACCAAATCAGGACTAGCTCTTCCCTCCCCCCTGCTTCCTCGTCCCACTGTCACCCAGCTACATGCCTGTTACCCATCTGTATTATCTACTCCCTCTCCACTACCTGTCCCCACTAAACTCTGTTCAGTGAGCATCAGACTCCTCTCAAGATTGACAATCTCCCTCAAAGTTGTGATTTGCTTCTCGAGATCTCCAGAGAAGCCACTCGCACACAACCATCACAGAGGTATGGACCCTGGACGGGTACATCCAGGCATCCATACATGCAACACGAGCAATCTTGCTAATGCTCATTTCAATAAAACAATTACCTTGATAGTTTAAACTCCTTGTTTGTTTGAACTCCTGGTTTTCTAACTCCTACTTAATAGTCTTCTTTCACGTAATGTGAGCAAGCTCAGTGAGTTAGGGGTGTGCCTTTATGGGGATACAAATCCCACACAGGTGCAATTAATGAACACTCCCCCAATCAATCAAGCAGCAGCACAAAAGAGGGGGAAAAACCAGAACACAGAAAAAAAAAAAGAAGATTAAACAAAAATAAAATACAAACCACTCTCCACAGTATACAAACCACTCCAAACAACTCCTGGTTTTCTAACTCCTACTTGAAAGAGTCTACTTAATAGAGTCTGCTTTCAAGTAATGTTCACCCACTGGAACTTGGAGCCTTGTTGTAGGTCCAGGGTGGGTAGGAGACGGCGAGACCTCAACCAAGCAGCGGCGGTACGTGGGGTCTACGGTGGTCTACGGTGGTTGTGGTGTCTGGCGGAGCGCTGACAAGTGCTAGGAGCATCCATCAACGGAAGTACCCAGTCGGGGTGCCAGGTGATCCGTTACATGGCCATATTCAATACTATGGCCTTTATTACACATTGCCTTTCTGGGTCTTATGTTTTATGTTGGTGGTTATTTCCCTAGTTTTGGTAAATAGTTAGTTATTGCTATTCCTTCCTGTTTATATTCTCAGTGGTCACTGGTACTGGTTTATATCCATACACAATATTGTGTTTTTCTCTTATATTAATATGTAATACATGGTTATTTTGCTTTTTAGAAGTACTTATTTAGTAAATGGCCATTAAACAGGGTGAAGCTATAATTGGACAATGTTAGTATGACCACAGCATCATTAAACTAAAGGTACCCCATTCTGCAGGTTTAGGGTTGGAGAGGATTTAGGGAGTTAACATTCTGCAGTAATTTAGACTGAGGGGTATCTGTATTCAAGGTGGTATGAAGGTTAAACCTCTAATATTTATGGCGATATTTTCCGTGTATACAAATAAACATTCAACGGCCTTTGTACAACCTGATGTTGACATCTTACTGTATATTTTCTAGAAAAAGTTCAGCGAGAGATCGATGAGGTAGTTGGCCCTGACCGGTTTCCTAGAATGCAGGATAGACCACAGCTGCCGTACACCAATGCCGTAATCCACGAATGTCAGAGGATTTTGGATTTGGCGCCCATTGGTCTTTATCATGCACTGTCAGAGGACACCTACTTCCGAGGATTCATGCTCCCCAAGGTAAAAATCTCTCCAGTTGGGTATTAATGTAGAATTTGTATCTTTACCAGGGATGAAGCCTACAGATGGAAACATGAAGTGCTACTTACATATTCCTGTTTGTTTTTTCTCTATACTAAAGATTATCCTGAACTTCTGATTATCAGCCTAAGTCTTTAAAAAATGAACTGTCCCTTCTCTATATACAAATTATAAGTCATATAACCCTTTAAGGACGGAGTCAAAAGTAGACGTTCTAATCAAAACATTTAAACAAATCCTGGAATTTGCACTATGTCTGTTCAACCATAATTCACCTCTTTCATGTTAAGTGCACGCACACTTATTATATATCATTTTATTCAGGAGAAACATGGCTTTCATTTCATATCACATATTTTTATATGAAACATAACTGTGAATAAAATCTTAAAGTGTAAGAAATTAGGAAATGTTAAGTTCTGCATGACACTTTAACTGTGAATGTCATAATACTGTTAGATTTTACTGCGATAAAATACACATTTGTGTTCTGCAATGTCTCAGGAGTGAAATAGTACCCACCATGTAAGGGTTTATGAGTCTTTGGAAACTTACAGGGTCAAATATAGGGCCTTCCCCTTCTATTTTTGTACATTGAAATTTGCCAGATTGGTTTGCTATATTGCCTTTGAGATGGTACAGCAGGCCAGAAATGAAAATTACCCCAAATGGCATACCATTTGAAAAAGTAGACAACCCTTGGTATTCAAAATGGGGTATGTCCAGTCTTTTTTTTTTTTTAGTAGCCACTTAGTCACAAACACTGGCCAAAGTTAGTGTGTATGTGTGTGTGTGTGTGTGTATATATAACATTTTATTTTTGCATTTTTTACACAAAAACTGCACTATCCTACATTCTGCAGGTTTTCACCCCAAAATACTAAAACAATCATTCCCCATCTCACAGGATATGTGGGTATTAGGCAACGATTCTGATGGCACTTGTGCTCCACAATTGGCACCAATGACACAATGCTTTTTACAGTGTCTACTAACTGCAATGGAAAGAACAAACACAAAAAGAATACTGGACGGAACAACTCGGAGAACTGCTACAGAGTAAAGCTTAATATTCCCATAGATTTTCCATACTAGATCTGGACAGTTAAAAACATCGATCTTGCAGAATTGGGAGACCATAAGCAGAGATGCAACATTACCAGAGATCTTCAAAAGTTTACATATCAAAAGCTATCGTCAAAGACCAAACTTAAGATATGCTGTTGGTACACACATACGACTTTGCGTTAATACGGAGACAATCTGAATAAATTAACACAGCGTGTTATAGGTGTTTGAACGGCACTGCTTCCAACGCTATGATTCAAAGTAAGACTTTTTGCCTCCCAAATTCAGGCAAAACACACAAAATACGGCACTGCATCACATGCACTACATTCCACGTAGTGTATAGGATAATCTGCCCATATGGTCTTACCTATATAGTTAAAACATTGAGGAACCTCAAAGAGAGAATGAGTGGACATAGATGTACTATCAGGGCTGCTTTATCCACAGGGACGACAACAGTCCTTGTTGCAAGACATTTTTTTGGAACAGAGACATTCTGCATGCGGGAATAGATCATGTACCTCCAATGCCGAGAGAAGGAGATAGAGACAAGGAACTGGTAAAATATTTTATAAATAACTATTAAGAAGTTATTATTTATGGATCCATACCGGGCACTATAGCGCCAGGGGCATCAATGAACAAAATCTGTTATGCTTTCTGCCTGAGAGATAATCTAGATACACTTCAGGTAGCCGTTACTCTATACAGAGTTCTTGCATATAGTCTATAATACATTTTTTAGAGACTGTATAAGGGGCTATAATATAATAATGGGCTTATTTACCTTTTTAAAGGGACTCCTCTCCTTCCCTGGACCGTTCCTGGTCTAGCGATTTGCATGTGGCTACTTCCAGTCACATGCAAGTCACCATTTTCAAATTTACCTGGTCTCCACATGGTTGTTACCTGGACTGCTGTCTCCACTCAGATTCAATCGACCGCAATACTGTCACAACGAAATTGGCCCCCTCTTCATCCCTCTGCGGTTCTAGCTCACTACAGATGGAACTGGAAATGGAACTCCAAAACGTAAGACGGTCGCAGTCCCACAGCGTCATCTCGGTTTTGATCTATTCCCTGAGTGTTCTATTGCCTAAGTGTTCGCTTTGACTCCGACCTCTCCTTCAAGCCTCATGTTCAGTCTATCGCCAAATCCTGTCATTTCCATCTCAAAAACATTGCGCGCATCCGCCCCTACTTAACGCCAGATGCGACTAAGGTGTTGGTCCATTCCACTGTCCTTTCTTGCCTTGACTACTGTAATCCGCTTCTCAGTGGTCTTACGTGCTCCCAACTTGCGCCGTTACAGTCCATAATGAATGCGGCGGCGAGGCTCATCTTCCTGTCCGCCCTCACCTCCCATGCCTCACCCTTCTGTCAGTCCCTACATTGGCTTCCTATAAAATATAGAGCTCAATGTAAAATTCTGGTTCTTGCTTTCAAATCTCTACATAATGCTGCTCCCACCTATCTATCCTCCCTTATACACAAGTATGTCCCGTCTAGGCCCTTACGTCTTACGTCTATCTTCTGTCCGTAGTCCCACCTCTGATGCTCGCCCTCACGATTTTTCGAGGGCTGCACCGTTCCTGTGGAACTCGCTTCCCTCCTCCGTTAGATGTTCATCCAGTCTCCACTCCTTCAAAAAATCGTTAAAAACCATTAATCATCCATTAAACTGTTAATAGCTCCTGACTGATTCCTCTTCTGCAAGTGTCACTAGTCTAATACTATCCTTACCTTTTTGTGTCACTATACCCCACTCCCTCTAGCATGTAAGCTCATTGAGCAGGGCCCTCAACCACTCTGTTACTTTGTGTCCAACTTGTCTGGTTACAACTACATGTCTGTTCGTCCACCCATTGTAAAGCGCTGCGGAATTTGACGGCGCTCTATAAATATCATAATAATAATAATAATTCCCTGCTTTGTCAATTCGTAAACACTAATTCGTATAGTATATCCTCTGATTTTATTTGTTTCAAAACTTACGAACGGTTTTGCTTAAAAAATAATTCGCAAACTTTTGGGACTTGTGCATTCATATGATTCCTATTATAGTTCGGCTTATTCGCATAAACTGCATTCTCATTATCCTAAATAATTGCCGCATCAGGGGAATGATAGTCTATTTTTCCAACACACCCTGTTCGGTTAAATCAATCCAAGGCAGCACAAAAGCCCTATGGCCGGTAGAGCATTCGTGCAGTACATTAGAACACTATTTAACCAACAGTGGTTCACAAAATTCATATGAATTGGCTCCTGCACCATGCATTATGGTTCATGCGAACTCGAACACTGACCTCTAGTGAAACTTCAAGGCACTCCTGTGATTTAATTTCTGCTTAGCTACATTAAGTATGTTTTCCGCTTGTTAAGAAATATAGGGCAATATCTTGTCATTGCAATATTAATGTATGGTCATAGGTTTTATACGTGATGATTATGTCTGTTAATTTCTTGAGTATATGTTAAATTTCTCTACTGCTGGTTCACTTAACCAAATAATAATCCAGCCATTCAATCAGGTTAATCGTAGATGGTTTACATTAGTCAACGTCACTAAATTCTTGCCTTGGTGTATACTCTTAATTAAATTACTAAGTTTAGGGTCCTTATCCTAAATCACCTGCTATGGTGGCTTCTCTAACTGCTTACCTCAATTCTACTCAAGTATATAGTACACTCTCTTGCCACTCTTATATTACCACATTATGTTCCTTATTCAGGACTACTATTTATCTTAAATCTGTGTTCTACACTCAAGGAGATCCCAGGCCATAGGTCATATATGAGCTCAGACGACAATACTAGTTCTGGATAGTATGTTAAAGGGGCCATGTACATACTCCTTGTATATTTCATTATATCATTAGATTCCTTATTAAGGACCACTGCTTTCACTTGTATCCATTTCTACATTCACAGTGGGCCGTGGGCTATAGTATATTTGGCTCAAGAGCCATTATTCATAATATATATATTTTTTACAGGTTATAGGGTGCTCAGCATTTCAGGGCAACATTTCTCATCTTACCCCTTATACTATGCTAGTTAGGTAGGTCTGTTATAGATTAATTCAATTGGGTCCACGATCTGTACCTTACAATTCAGACACTAACGATATGTCATCGCATCTTTAGGTGTTAGGTATCTACTATTTACTGCACAACCTCCTACTTATGGTTGAACCCAACTGTGTCACATACAACATCTTCGTACAACTATCTTGGTAACCCCTATAGGTCTGCTCCAATGCAATTCTTGTGTTGAACCGCATTACTGACTTGCTCATTCTCAGGTATGTCAATTTACATGTACTTAAACGCTACCATACCCTTCTTCCATTGGTTAGTTTTGTGACTGGCTGACAGGGCACCAGGAGTCCAACAGTTAATAATTTCTCAGGCCTCTATACCTTAGGTTAGTAGTCCCACGAGGCCAACATCCATCCTTATACTCTGAGGTACTACGTCCATCGGCCCAACTCATAGTTATTTGCTTTGCATGGTGGCATAGAGAGGCCCTCACCTATCACTCCCATTCTATATTATGCTTTTAAAGTCACCAAGAGGCTGACAACCTGCCACAATTTTCGTTGGCCACAAAATCCCCTCACGCCAACGCATATAGTGCTTCTTAAGCCGCATGGCATCTAACAGAGCCTCACTCGTCAACAACAAAGTATAATCGTTTCGCTGCTTGGCAGTAGCTAGTAAGCCAGTACGTTATAAGGGTATAAACTAATTACTATGTTAACATATCTCAACGACAAGAAAGTGGCAAAGACCTGTCCCTTCCCAGCACTACTGCTAGGTCGAGTACACCTTCACGCAGAGGGGACATGGCTAGTCCTACCTATATTAGATCTTGGACTATCCCTCGCATCACAGCAGAACTTTTAAATGGAATATACTGTACCAGCAACAGCTAGATAACTGAACTTTCAAATTACCCAAACATGTATGTGTATAGTGTGTGTAAACACTGGACAAAGTTATAAACGCAACACTTTTTTGTTTTTGCCCCCATTTTTCATGCGCTGAACTCAAAGATAGAAGACTTTTTTTTTCTATGTACACAATAGGCCTATTTCTCTCAAATATTGTTCATAAATCTGTCTAAATCTGTGTTAGTGAGCACTTCTCCTTTGCTGAGATAATCCATCCACCTCACAGGTGTGGCATATCAAGATGCTGATTAGACATCATGATTATTGCACAGGTGTGCCTTGGGCTGGCCAAAATAAAAGGCCACTCTAAAATGTGCAGTTTTACTGTATTGGGTGATCTGGTGGGGGAGGGGGGGAGTTTGAAAGCCAGTCAGTATCTGGTGTGACCACCATTTGCCTCACGCACTGTAACACATCTCCTTCGCATAGAGTGGATCAGGTTGTTGAATGTGGCCTGTGTAATGTTAGTCCACTCCTCTTCAATGTTGAATCATACAGATATATAATCCGTTCTAGAATCCTTCAATTCCAATATACAAGATGGTAGTACAGTTCATCGTTCTGTTACAGTAATAATGTATTGAAATGTCAAGTGGTGTTAAACTAATATTAGGTACGTTCAGTTACGTTGGTTACCAGTAAAACATGTATATGTCAATCAGTGCAAATACCATTCAGGCAGAGGCGTTTAGCAGGTCTTGTACAGAATGATATAAACAAGTGTTACTTTACGATTTTGTGTTTTCAGGTACATTACGTTTCATTCCCGTTCATATCAAATTCAAGGCCTCACTCTGTTTCTCCTTTACGTTTCTGAAATAAAATTCTATACCCTTGCTTTAACAAGGGGCTTGTCTCTTTATACTGACCCTCGCAAGGTCCTCCATACGCATGCGATCAGACGTTGCATCATTCAATATTAAGTATGTGTTCCTGTATGTTCAAGGTATCCAACGGGATATTGACTTTCTACAGAATATATGGTGATAATATAATTATTATACTAACACGTTATCATTAAGTTAAGCTACTCCTCTCTCGTACTCGTAAAAGCCGCTATGGCTGGCTAACCACGGCTCATTTAACTGTTTCTACAAACTGTATGTTTGTTCATTCAGAGCGAATTTTGCTACTAATACAATTCAGCCAATTCATTCATAAATGGCATCACACTGATGCCTCTTTCAGCTTTTAGTTTTAGGCCCCTTACTAGGATATATTGATTTTTATACTATGAAGTTCAATTTGGCTCCAAAACATAGCGAAGTGTCGCAACTGACTATTAATTTGGCAGACCCAACTTGGGCCATAGGGTTAAGAAATCTAAATATTAACTTGTACATACATTCACTGTACACATTAAACATAAGTCTGTTTGCGAGACCCGCGGCATGGCAACGCTCAGCGCGGCACACAGGCCCGGGTCTTGCGAGAGATATTAGAAGAGAGAAGAGAGGAGAACAGGCAGTGTGCTGGGCCCCCTCTGCGGTAACAGGGAGCCAGTGGCCCGCAGCCAGAGCAGTTCGGGCACCCCAGGACCGCCGGGGCCCGTGACAACCATCATGGTTGTCCCCCCCTGATGGTGGCCCTGGGGACATGATTAATCAAGCAATAACATTTCAAACATCCAACTTTATGTTTTAAAACATCACACATCAACCTTTAAAACATGGCAGACTGTTGGTAACATGGTACAGTACACTTCAACTGTACATAAATCACACGTCAAGAGGGAAAACATGGAAAATTTCAAAACAATTTTAACACTTTTTGGAAGATAAGGAGGACGAGTGCAATTGGGCAGCACTAACACAAGCAGGTTCATCTTCATGTCTAGGCTGAACCTTTCCATTGTCTGCTGCCTCTGGTGCCTTTTAAGCATCCCTGGGAAAGGGGACATGATGTCTGTGTCAAAACTGCTCACAAGTCTGTGGGCTAGAGCCTTATCTGGGTGGTGCTGCTGTACAAAAGTCTGTAGGTTTACCCACATTTGGCATGCCTCCTTGAGTTCCGTGGAAGAGAGCTGTTCCTCACTCATTTCCTCCTCCTCCTCAAATGCGATCTGCTCCTCCATTGCCTCCTTCTGCAATTCCACCAGCTCCTCGGTGGTTAGGTCACGGTCGTGTTCCTCCACCAGCTCGTAGACGTCCTCCTCAGTCACCTCCAGGCCCATGGTCCTCCCCAAGGAAACAATTTCCTCCAACACTGTTGACTCAGGTGCAGAAGCACTGGAGGCAGGTTTCACAACACAGTCTGGGCACAGGTTGCGCCAAGCAGAATTTAGGTTTGGCTGACCCCGGCCCAGGCAATGGTGCTAATCTGCAGACAGCTTACAATGTCAAAATGCTCTCTCCAAAATTCATGGAGGGTGAGGCTTGAGCAATCTGTCATCTCAAAGCATAGCCGGAAAAGCTCCCTTGTGTAGAGTTTTTTTAAATTGGAGATGACCTGCTGGTCCATTGGCTGGAGTAGTGGGGTGGTGTTAGGCGGAAGAAACATGACCTTGATGAAATTAAAGTCCTCCAGCAAGTCTTCCTTGAGGCCTCGAGGATGGGCAGGAGCATTGTCCATGAGCAGCATGGCCTTGAGTGGCAGGTTATTGTCCACAAGGTACTTCTTCACAGCAGGACCAAAAACCGCATTGACACACTTCACAAACAAGAGGCGTGTGACCCAAGCCTTTGGGTTAGACTGCCACAAAACGATCAACTGTTCCTTGTTTACCTTGTGTTTCTTGAAGACCCGTGGGTTCTCTGAATGGTAGACAAGCAGGGGCTTGATCTTAAGGTCCCCACTTGCGTTGGCGCAGAACAGGAGGGTGAGACGGTCCTTCATCGGCTTGTGGCCAGGCAATGAGGTCTCCTCTCCTGTGATGAAGGTACGCTTTTGCATCCTTTTCCAGAAGAGTCCAGTCTCGTCGCAGTTGAAGACCTGCTGAGGAAGGTAGCCCTCTGAAACTGACCTCCAGGAACTCCGTAGCAAATTCCACAGCTGCAGCAACAACAGAACTTGCAGCCTCTCCATGTCTGACCATACTGTGGATGCCAGATCTGGTCTTGAACCTTTCGAACCACCCACTGCTGGCCTTGAAGCCTTCTGCATCTGCTGACATTCCTGGCTGTTGTTTGAGGAGGCCAGCGTGCAAGGCCTTGGCTTTTTCGCAGATGATCGCCTTGGTCACTGAGTCCCCTGCACACTGCTTCTGTTCAATCCAGAGCAGGAGTAACTTCCCGACCTCCTCCAGAACAGGTGGCCATTGCTTGGAGACCCTTGGCTGCATCTCTCCCAGTTATCTTCTTTCATTTTTAGGATTGTACTGATTGTGGATGCACTCCTTCCATACTCTTTGGTGAGGTCAGTCAATCGCATTCCTCCTTCATGCTTCCTGATGATTTCTTTCTTGTCCTCAAGCAGAATCATCTCTGTAACGGATCACCTGGCACCTCCGACTGGGTACCTCCGTTGAAGGATGCTCCTAGCGCTTCCTGAGGACTCCAAGCACTCTGGCAGACACCACAATCACCGAACCGGAGAAACAAATAAATTCTCCCAAGCATATGAATGCTGTAGACGGTTGAATAGGAACCATACGAATAGGTTTACTCTCCTAGCAGTCAAACTGGAACAGCATATAATAAATCCTTCCCCCAATAATGAGACAACACTTCACTTTGAGGGTTAAAACAGGAACTCCCTGTACTGTCACATACAGTCTCTTTTATTCCCAATCCACAAACATAGTACAGCCCACAGGGCGTTACAAAACAACCAATCAATCCGTATAATACACCCAGACACTCCCACACAAAATCCTCCCCTCTGCATGTGATATGATTACTGAACACAATGGGTAATCTCATTATCACCGGCAGAGGAATACAGTTTTACACAATATTTATAACTTCTAAAATATACATGTCACAAACATAAAACATACATTTTCATAATCAATCCATTCAGGGGAACAACATATTAAAAAAATGGCACGAATCAGACCAGGGGTTCAAAAGTTAAGGGAAAGTCCTTTGTGACTAAATGAAGCATGGCTTTCTGGCCCAAACCAGTTTCAGAGTCTCTATCCTGGAGAGTAATTCAATTATCTCCCAGGATAGACACAAGACTCCATTAAGCACATGGTTGCAAAAAGACACAAAACACTTTAAAATACATAAAGTCACATTTACACATAACACACAGACATTTCACATATCCCCAGATAGCTGGGATCTGAGTGCACATTATTAGATGAATGGCACTCAGATCACACAAATAAGCCTTTCTGCAGGGGAAATAAACAGTTTAACCTGCAGGGCCATAGTCCAAAGGGAGCAGGCGAGCAACCAGGCTTCTCCAGTTCACAGTGGCGAGGTTGGTTTCGCCACACTTCTCCCCTTTACCAACTAGACTAACAGGGTATCTGACCTCCTGCCGGTCAGTGCCCTGGTTAGTCCAGCAACCCACCCACAAAACAGAAACAGCAGTACAGCCCACCCACAATAACTGGTTACTACACCTGGGTAGAGGAGAACTTTGTCCATGTCCAGGTGCCTCACCACGACTGTGTGGGCAACTGTTAGGCTGCCTTGGTGGGTTGCTGAGTGGGCAGAGACCAGCGTTACTCTGCCCTGATGCCAGTGCTACCACGGAAGTAGCCTGGTGGGAGCCTGGTTGTGGGAGGGAGAGACCGACTGTCTCCCCTCTGGATACACCGCTCTGTGGCTGGGGAACAGGACCGACTGTCCCTACCCCTTGTGCTGTAAGTGCAGAGACTACAGTCCCATCTGCACTGTTGGGGGGTGTAAAATCTCCCCTTGCTGGGTTAGGCTGCCGCTGGAGAGAGGGTGTAACAAGCTCCTCTCTCTGAACTGTAAACTGCCGCTGGGGAGAGGGGGTATCAGGCTCCTCTCCCTGACACTCTCTCTGCTGGTGGAGAGGGGGACCAGCTGTCTCCCCTCTCATTATTTTGTCCTGTGGTTGGGGTGCGAGACTGACGGTCTCTGCTCCCTGCAGGACACTCTGCCGCTGGGGAGGAAGGACGGCACCTTCAGCTCCCTGGGGTACACACTGCCGCTGGGGAGGAAGGACTGCACCTTCAGCTCCCTGGGGTACACACTGCCGCTGGGGAGGAAGGACTGCACCTTCAGCCCCCTGGGATACACACTGCCGCTGGGGAGGAAGGACTGCACCTTCAGCTCCCTGGGATACACACTGCCGCTGGGGAGGAAGGACTGCACCTTCAGCTCCCTGGGATACATACTGCCGCTGGAGATCTGGGCCGACCGCCCAGCATCCCTGTAGGGCCGGTAGAGAGACCGCCGTCCCATCTCCACCTGCCATCTGTGGGTCTTCCCAGGACCAGTCTGTGAGGTCCCTCAACATTTGCGAGTAAGGACCACCTGGCAACTCCGGCTGCTGGGGATCTGGGCCGGTCCCATCTCCACCTGCCTGTTGTGGTTCCTCACAGGACCAGTCTATGAGGACCCCTACTTCGGGTTCCTGCGGCCGCCTCAGGGGGAGACGGCTAGCCTCCTCGGATGCAGCCTCTACTCTGCTGCTGTAACACTCCTTCCGCTGAGCATACTCTCTCTCTTTCGCCAGCCGGAATTCTCGGGCCAGCCTTGTGTTTCGCTCGGCCGTGACCTGGTTCCAGATTACCCGGCGTACCTCCATGGGTAAATCATCCCCATACTGGGCCACTCGCTGCCTCACCTCGGCCATCCAATCATCGCCAGAGCCTTCCATACTTGTCTGCTCCAAGTCGCTGGATACCTCTGCTCCCAGGGGTGCTGCACGTGTGCTAGCGTTGCCCTCAATTTGTAACTCCACGAACTGGTGTCTCTGAGCTGCTTTACCTCGCACTAGGATGCCATCCCACCGCTGCCACCAATGTAACGGATCGCCTGGCACCCCGACTGGGTACCTCCGTTGAAGGATGCTCCTAGCGCTTCCTGAGGACTCCAAGCACTCTGCAGACACCACAATCACCGAACCGGAGAAGCAATAAATTCTCCCAAGCATATGAATGCTGTAGACAGTTGAATAGGAACCATACGAATAGGTTTACTCTCCTAGCAGTCAAACTGGAACAGCATACAATAAATCCTTCCCCCAATAATGAGACGACACTTCACTTTGAGGGTTAAAACAGGAACTCCCTGTACTGTCACATACAGTCTCTTTTATTCCCAATCCACAAACATAGTACAGCCCACAGGGCGTTACAAAACAACCAATCAATCCGTACAATACACCCAGACACTCCCACACAAAATCCTCCCCTCTGCAGGTGATATGATTACTGAACACAATGGGTAATCTCATTATCACCGGCAGAGGAATACAGTTTTTACACAATATTTCTAACTTCTAAAATATACATGTCACAAACATAAAACATACATTTTCATAATCAATCCATTCAGGGGAACAACATATTAAAAAATGGCACGAATCAGACCAGGGGTTCAAAAGTTAAGGGAAAGTCCTTTGTGACTAAATGAAGCATGGCTTTCTGGCCCAAACCAGTTTCAGAGTCTTCTATCCTGGAGAGTAATTCAATTATCTCCCAGGATAGACACAAGACTCCATTAAGCACATGGTTGCAAAAAGACACAAAACACTTTAAAATACATAAAGTCACATTTACACATAACACACAGACATTTCACATATCCCCAGATAGCTGGGATCTGAGTGCACATTATTAGATGAATGGCACTCAGATCACACAAATAAGCCTTTCTGCAGGGGAAATAAATGGTTTAACCTGCAGGGCCATAGTCCAAAGGGAGCAGGCGAGCAACCAGGCTTCTCCAGTTCACAGTGGCGAGGTTGGTTTCGCCACAATCTCCTTCTTCCTCTTCCCAGCTTCCGCTGCTTTCTTGGGTGCTATGACACCACCGTCACTAAGTATGCAAAAAAAAAATGCTTTACACCCACATGAGCTGGCATGGAAAACAACCCCATTGCAAAACACACAGTACAGTACTGTAACAGGCATGCACAGCATATTGTGATGGGATTCCAGCATGGTCAAAATTTAGTAGGCCGAAATCTCCACATGGCATATGCTAATTAGTTTCTGATTACAAACAGTTGGATGAGTCATCAGTATACTGAGCATGTGTGGAAGTGGATAGTACATTCCTTTGTCTGTAAATGCCATGTGGTCTGCCCATATAAGGTGATCCTGAATATCCTGTGTGCTGATTGGTCTGAGGAATATAGGAGGGTTTATACTGTATGGAAGGGGATATGCTGCTAACAAAAGGCCTCTGCACCATGCTTTCTGCCTATCAGAGTTCATCTGAGACCCGATCGGTGTGTAAATAAAAGACCTGTAACTTCCTGAATAGACTTGTGTCCATCTCTCTATGTGTGGCTTCTGCTGCGTTTTCCAGTAACAATATGAGCTGTGACAGGCATGCACAGCACATGAGCTGGCATGGAAAGCAACCCCACAATGCAAAACACACTGTAACAGGCATGCAAACAACTAAGCTCAGCTCCCTACCTTTCCACCTCTTGAGATGCACCAAAAAGGCTCCAAAACTTGCTGCAAATGGCTCCAAACACCTCCACACTCACGTGCCACCCAGACTCCAGTATGCAGGGGGGTGGAGCTATAAACCGGGACACTTGTTTCGTATTGCGAAAAAACTTCATAAACCAAGGTATTTTTTTTACGGATTCTCATTCATAAACCAATTTTTTCGTTTACCGATGCGTTCGTTAACCAAGGTTCCACTGTACCACCATTCTTATTGTGGTTGACCGTTTCTCCAAGATGGCTCATTTTATTCCACCTAAAAAATTGCCATCCTCTCAAGACCTGGTTCTTATCGTTATACATGAGATTGTCCGACTGCATGGCATTCCTCACAATATTGTGTCTGATAGGGGCTCTCAGTTTGTGTCTCGGTTTTGGAGGGCGTTCAGTAAACAGTTGGGCATTGAATTGTCTTTTTCTTCCGCTTACCATCCCCAAACTAATGGCACGGCTGAGAGGGCTAACCAGTCATTAGAGTTATATCTGCGTTGTTTTGTAAATAGCACTCAAGATAAATGGTCCGAGTTACTACCCTGGGCCGAGTTTGCTAGGAACAATGCTACCCATGACTCTTCTGGTCACAGCCCATTCTTTGTTAATAACGGTCATCATCCTACTGTCCTGCTGGCTGTTTTCTCTGAGACAACTATCCCTGCTTTGGATAATGGCCTTTCTTCTATCCGTGATACTTGGACCAAAGTTCATTCCGCTCTCAAAACTGCGGCTGATTGCTTCAAGTTCTATGCGGATAAACGGTGGGGTGCCAACCCCGTTTACCAAGTGGGTGACAGGGTATGGTTATTGTAGCAGACCTTTTTGCCCACAAGCGGTTAAAAACCGTTTAGGCAATATTCCCCTTTCCAGATACACCGACAGCTACTGTAAGCACCGATCTCCCGAACTGGAAACACATGAACACCGGAAATATCCGAACAGGAAAACCATACGAAAGGTTACACTCCTGGCAGTCAGCATACAATCCAATTCCCCCAATAACGAGACGACACTTTGTTTGAGGGTTAAGCAGGAACTGACTGTACTGGCACATACAGCCTCTTTTATTCCCAATCCACAAACAAAGTACTGCCCACAGGGTTTTACAGAACAACCAATCAATCCGTACAATACACAGACACTCCCACACAAAATCCTCCCCTCTGCCTGTGATATGATTACTGAACACAATGGGTGATATAATTATCACAGGCAGAGGAATACAGTTTTTCCACATTATTCATAACTTTGAAAGTATGCATCACATTCACATAAAACTTACATTTTCTGAATCAGCATACTCCAAATACAAACACATGTCAACATCATCCAAATTGCTCTATTGGTTCAAAAGATAGATTGAAGTCCTTTGTGACCAAATGAAGCATGGCTTTTCTGCCCAAAACCAGTTCCACAGAGTCTTCTATCCTGGAGATAATTGAGAAGTAATTCAATTATCTCCAAGGACAGAGGCAAAACTCCATTAAGCACATGGCAGTAAAAAGACAGTAAAATACAATAAAATACACAAGGTTACCTTTCTTACATAAAATACAGACATTCTACCTATCCCCAGATAGCTTAGATCTGAGCGCACATTATTACTGGATGGCGCTCAGATCACATACATACAGTTCAATCGCCATGGAGCCAAAGTCTTTCATACAGTCATTCAGTATACGGCTGTGCTCCATGGCATAGCTATCTGGGGTAGCATGGCTTTAACAGTCTGCAGAAAGGCACAAACCAGCCTTTCTGCAGGGTAAAAGAACAGGGGCCATAGTCTAAAGGGAGCAGGCGAGCAACCAGGCTTCTCCAGTGCACAGTGGCGAGGTTGGTTCCGCCACATTTCTCCCCTTTACCATCCAGACTAATCGGTCAGTGCCCTGGTTAGTCCAGCAACCCACCCACAGAACACAATCAGCAGTACAGCCCACCCACAATAAAGAGTTACTACACCTGGGGTAGTGGGTCGCTTGTCCCTGTCCAGGAGCTCCACCTCGGCTTTGGGGTTTACTGGCGCTCCGGATCGGTGGGTTACTGAGTGGGCAGAGACCAGCGGTACTCTACCCTGCTGCCAGCGCTACCCTGTGAGTAGCCTGGTTGGAGCCCAGTCGAGGGAATGGCGTAGTAACCTGGTAACTGACTTTGGGGTCAAAGGCCAATTACAGTCTATCCGATCCATAGGAGGGGTATTTAGGCCCAGTTCTCATCCTGCTCAGTGCCCTGTCGTGGTTTCCCTTGTGGTTGTCCGAGAGTGCGTTCCTTACTCAGGTTTCTTCTGTTTTTTGACTTTGGCTTTGATTTTAACTTCCCTGTATTCTGTATCCCTGACTTCTGGCTTTCCCTCATCGTTGTGTCTCTTTCTGTATCCCCTGACCTCGGCAAGTATCCTGACTACTCTTTGGTACGTTAAGTCCGGCCATTCTAAGGCCCGGTAATACATTACCTATTAGTCATCTGTGTGACACAATTCTACGTGCTGGATCAACTAGTAATCCTGACAATTATATACACACACACACTCTGCATTATATACACACACACTCATACAAACACACACTCTGTGTGTATATAATATAATAATAATTTTTTTTTAAAATTTAATATACCCCCCTCCCTGCTTGTTACCTGACCAGAGAGGGGGGCTGTAACATTCCCTGGTGGTCCAGTGGATGGGCTGTGCAGGGGGGGGGGGCCGGAGCAAGCTGTTACTTACCTTTTGTAGCAGCTCCGGTCAGCTCCGTGCAGCTCCCCAGTTCAGTTCACAGTGTAAGTCTTGCGGTCTGCGTGCCACGCATGGTTGCCACGGTAATCTGACGGCAGCGGGTGTCGCAAGACTTACACTGGGAGCTGCACGGAGCTGACAGGGAGCTGACTGGAGCTGCTACACAGATAAGTAAGAGCTCGTGGCCAGCCCCTAACAGGACCGCCGGGCTTGTAATGAGCCCGGCGGTCCTGGTCTGTATTATGGCAATGTAAGTTGCCATAATACAGACCTTGAATCGAGTATAAGTCGAGTGGGGCTTTTTCAGCACAAAAAAATGTGCTGAAAATCTCTGTTCATACTCGAGTATATACAGTAATTAAAATAAATACATTTAAAAAAATTATATGCAATTTCATTCTAAACTTATGCCAGAGGGGGACTGCCTGTGCTGTCAGACAGCAGTCCCCCAGAAGAGGATTGCAGCAGGTGTGAGTAGATTGGGTGATGTGGCTCAAAGCCGTTACAGCGTTCTATGCTGCTGCAAAGGCTTTAAAGCGGGATGGCATGGAACACCGTAACAAAGTTAACGATTTAAGCCCAAAGGGACCCAGATTAAGAAGGAAAATTTCCTCTAAATAAAACAGAGGATAATATGGTACAGCCTTTAGTGAGTGGCTTGAAATGCAGTCTTCACCCGTCCCTTCTTTAGTATGTGAGTAGGTCCTCTGCATGGAATGATACATTATACTACACTATATGCTCCCTTTGTGCTCTTTATATCACAAATACCAGGACTAGAAATATAGAATAAGAAATGGCCGCTCACATAGGACATCATTTAGCGGTACAATCCCCACTGGTGGACATTGGGACAATTGAAGATTATACTAGCTTTAGTGTACTCATCTTATTTTTAGGAATGGTGGGAGGCCAGCATTTTTCCTAATCTCTTTACTAGCTCCACAGCAGCAAAGAATCACATAGAAAAAAGAACCAATCACAAGAGAGTAGGATGTACATGAGATATAGTGACCTAAGCACTTCCTCTTTCAGAAAGAGACATCAAGCAGAAGCAAACATATAACCAGCTAACAATAACTCCTAAATCCAACATCCGATGAGGCAAACTTCCTGTGAATTCCACACAAACCACCAATCAGGGACAAATCAAACTGAAAAGAGAATGTGTGGTAGGTTTACACACCTAGTCATGAACGTGGAAATCCAAGTAACACACAGTATACATAATTTCATGATGTAAACTACAATCTGATAACTGAACAGCAATCACATAAAACTCCAATGACCATTCCAAACCAATGGAAATAAAACCATCCATGTAAAAACAACACATTAAGAGCCAAACCTACCTTAGACCAATGAGACACATAAAGAGGGCAAACAGAAAGGGTGGGACAGTAAAGCAGGGTGGGAAAATACCTTCTGTCATTACTAAAATTAAGATTAGAAGTACACTAAAGCTAGTATTATCTTCAATTTTACAACATGACAGGAGGCTTCGTATTTTGCAATTTTAATGCTGAAAAGAAGAAAATAGCAGCATTAGAAAAAGGGCAAAAATAAAGTCTGGTAAGTCTTTCCGCGAGACCAATCTGCCGATCGCAAGATATCCAAAAGCCAAAAAGGCCTTAAAAGCCACCGCCCTGCGGACCTCATGCACACCGAACGAGGGGTCCACCTTAGCAAGGGATAGGATCCAAGGAACCCATCTTGCCAACATGGGTGCATGCAGGAGACAAGCAACTGTCCTGTAGGTGACTGTCGCAATGAGTAGGCAAGCTTGATATACCAACGCAAGGCTGAAACCACACACAACTGGGAATTTGAAATGTAAAGGAATAGAAAAACATTGAAGAATCCACCTTCATGTGACGAGAGACACAGAACGGGACTCCGTCAGGGAAAAAAAGAAACACGTACACATCGAACGCCTGAAAGTCCGAAACAGGACGGAGAGACACCAGGCATAGCAAAAACGTAAACTTGGCCGATAACAGATGAAGAGGAAGTCTGTCATTAGGTGGCCAGTCCCATAGAAAATGGAGAACTATCTCAACGTCCCATAAGTGGGTGTACTTTGGACCTGGTACACCCACCATCCGCCAGGAATCCTCAGACCAGGACGTGGGCCACTGGAATGGCCAAATATACCACAATAATACCACAATAATGTATTGGTATAACCGACCCAACAAAAAAGCGACAAGCGGAACTTCAAGGTTTAAGTTTCCATTCCAAACCCCACTTGCTGAACATGGAGGTGATGAAGCACTATCGCATTGCAATGGAAGTAAAAGCGTACACCGCCTGGGGAGGCAAAGCCTGCAGGAATGAGTCCTCTGCTGTGCACTCAGGATCTGACAGCCAACCGAAAAACGCTGGAGTCTGGTGGTTGTTGCAGGATGCGAACATGTCCAGGTGAAACGGGCACTTTAGAGATATGGTGGCGAACACCTGGGATCCAGCATCCAATTGCTGCTGTCCCTCCAAAGGTGGTAGAACCAATCCATGGTGAGATTTGTCTCCCTTGGGAGGTATTCCGACCTCAGGGAGATCCTGCGAGGGAGAGCGAAATTAAAGATGACGGTCAGTGCCGCCCAGGTGATTGATATACCGGACTGTTGACACTTTGTCCATCCGGAGTAGGATGCAACAAACTGATTACCCCTTCACCAGGCTGTGGAGAGCGAAGGACCCAACTAAGAATTCCAGGCAGTTGATGAAGGGAGAGTTCCTGAGTTGTGCACACTCCTCCCGTGGGTACCCTCTCGCAGGTTGCCCCACAGGCTAACATCCATCAGCATGCTGTCCAACCACTACTGCAGTCCTCCTCGCACCTCATCTATCACCAGAACTGATTGGTCATAGATGGGGTTCGCACAAGGAAACATGACTTTGAGGTGTTGCATGGCCCGGTAGTGTAGCGGGCCCAGGAAGATAGTCTGGATAGAGGACAGTAGCCCATGATCCAGGTAAGTCTGCAGAGTAGGACCTTGCAAATATCCTTGTGGATAGTGGAGATCTTTGAAGGGGTAGCTTCAGGATGCAAGACGCGGAGTCTATTTTGAATCCTTAGGATTGGACCATCCAGGAAAGGGCCATCCCAGACTTCTGTCTATTCACTTAAAAACCCAACAATTCCAGCAGGATCAAGGAGAATTGTGTTGACGTAGTCTTGACCCCTCGGAACCAAACAGAAGGACATCGTCCAGATAAATAATGCAAAGCGATCACCTGTAACAGTAGTTTCATGAAGCACCAAGGAGCCCAGCTGAGGAGGCAGGTGACTTGCCAAGGTTGACCGTGCCACAGGAAACATAGATACCATCGGCAAGAAGGGTGGATTGAGACCGACAAGTATATGTCCAGACTCTTAAACCAATTCCCTACTTGAAGAAAGTTCCTTAATAAGTTTGAATGCCTCCCATCTTGTAGAAAGCAAGTCGTTTATTCTCTACCTCTGTCAGGGTCTTACCTTGGTTGGAGTACGAAGTGCAGAGATGTATGCTCAACGTTGCAGATAAACACTGTCCAAGGTGACCAGGTAAGAAGCCACCTGGGCTCTGAATATGTGCATGGCAGCTTTGCAGGAAAAGTGCTCCAAATTGCAGTACAGGCAAAGACACAACCTGAAGAATAGTCAAGTAATAGATGTAGTTAGAGGATGCCAGAGGTCAGGATAAACGAGCAAGTGCAAGGGAGCTGAGCAGAGAGCTCGGAGGAAGTGATCCCTCGCCAGCGCCGCCTGCCCAGCAGCCACTGGACCCCCAGGGAGAGAGGGAATCCCCCACCCCCCTCACTCTGCGGCGTGCAAGGGAGCTGAGCAGAGAGCTCGGAGGAAGTGCTCCCTCGCCAGCGCCGCCTGCCCAGCAGCCACTGGACCCCCAGGGAGAGAGGGAATCCCCCACCCCCCAGCATTCCCAAAGGTAAGGAGGCTGGGGGTTAAATAAATAAAAAAAATATGTTAATGTGAGTGAGTGTGTATGTGTGTCTGTTAATGAGTGAGTGTGTCTGTTAGTGTGTGTGTGTGTGTGTTTCTGTTAGCTAGTGTATGCATATCTGTCAGTGAATGTGTGTGTGTGTTTTAGAAGGTTGGGTGGGGGTGGCATGGGCTGGAGGGGGCGTCTGAGTTTTGTCCTGCCTAGGGCAGCACAAAACCAGGATACACCACTGGCGGTAGGTCTCACTCCCCAGTGGCAGTATGCATTACTGGGAGAAGAGGCAACCAGTCTCTCTCCCCAGCGATAACTGACTTCTACTACACAATCACTCTCCAGATTGCCCTCTCATTCGCCCTCAATATTGTATTTTAACATCTCTGCAAGTGATTTAGTCTTAAACCCCCTCCTTCCTTAGAAAAAAGAATGAAGAGATAAAGATTCTCTAATATAGTCATCCTTCACACATTCTGTTAACTTTCACCCTCATTCCCTTCAAAATCGTCAAAATTATCTTCAGGGCTTCACTGTCATCTTTTACAAATTCTATTGACCACTTTAACCTTGTCAATTACTCACACATCCTAATCTTTTTGCACATTCTATTAACCCTTTTACTAACATATATTTTATACATTTTATTAAATCCTTCACCCTCAGTCTGCACTGAGTTTTCACAATATCCCGCCATATATTACACACTATTTCAATGCCTTCCTTCATCCTTTAATTTTGTTTTAGTGAGAACAGGTCATGACCATAGAAACAGCCAGTGTTTCCCCAGTGGGAGAATCTGCGATGGATGAGGCTGGGTTACACTAGCAGGCACTAAGCCATCTTACTTCTACCTGCTATAATGATCACCCACATCTTACCTCCACGTGCCATTATATTTCCATTCACTACATTGCCTGAAAGTATCCTGTACCCACCATATATTGCAGGGTAATAAAGGTGCATTTTAGAATGCTTTGTAAGAGGGGACCTGCTGGCTTCTGTACATAGCCGTACCAAATCTCAGCCATTATCAACACCATCTCCAAGTATTATACAGAATACAGAACTTTATTTCATAGTTATCACATGTCCTAGACCAGGAGTATGCAACATTTGGCACTTCAGATGTTGTAAATGTCATCTCCCATAATGCTCTTACAACCTTAATGCTGGCAAAGCATTAAGGGAGATGTAGTCCACAGCATCTGGAGTACCGAAGGTTTCCTACTCGTGTCATTATCCATACAATTATATTAACACAGTTATTAAAATATACTCTGAAAACAGGAGCATCTTTCTCTATCTGTTTGAGATGTGGTTGCTATAATAGAGATCTATTATAATAGAGAATTTATTTTTTACTAATTTTTGTTTCATTACAATATGGGAGTGCAGGGAGAAATAGTGGGCCCGGAGCAAAATTAAGGGGAGATTTCCTTGGCCAGGAGTGAACCGCATCATTGTTTCTTATGGTCAGTTTACCTTTATGAGGCCCATCCACTTCCTGTTCTCTCTCCTGGTTCCTGAATTCTTCTGAAGCTCTCCTTCCTTCCATTCTCCTTTCTGATACAGGTGGCGGCAACTGGGGGCTATTTTGCTCCCGCCATACTTTTTTTTTGTTTTGTTCTTTTTTTTTGTTTGATTGCTGGGGACTGTTTGTTTATTCGAACTCTCCCTGGGAGTCATCTGTTTGTTTACTCCTACACTGTGAACCGTTTCTTTTGGCCTGGCAGTTCTTGGCCCTACTGGGTGGGGAGTATCATTGCCTTCCCTCTACCATGGGAGAGTGCGGCATGGGGCTTAGTGGCAGAGATGGACAGGACTGGCGGCGGTGAGGTGGCTGGTTTTCCTCCCTCGTTGGTTACACCTTGTACAATGATAACATTATATAAAGGATTTGTTAATTTCAATATCTTCTGGCCAGATCATTCCACCATGATTCCCCCTATTAACAATATATATATTTTTATCGGTACCTGGTGCTATATTAAATAGAACCAACTCTTTTAATATTGGTTTCTTATTACAGGGGACAACAGTCATCCCTTTTCTTTCCTCCGTGCTGTCTGATCCAACGTTGTGGAAGATGCCTGATGAGTTCAACCCCGGCCACTTCCTGGACGATAAGGGCCAGTTCAAGGCAAACCCAGCATTCATGCCATTCTCTGCTGGTCAGTGACATGAGAGAGATCTGTGCACACACCGACTGAGAGAGCGCTACACCTATAGATTATTGAGAGATCTGTGCACACGCTGACTATAGAGAGCTCTCCACCTATAGATTACTGAGAGATCTATGCACACACTGACTATAGAGAGCTCTCCACCTATAGATTACTGAGAGATCTGTGCACACACTGACTATAGAGAGCTCTCCACCCATAGAATACTTAGAGATCTGTGCACACACTGACTATAGAGAGCTCTCCACCTATAGATTGCTGAAAGATCAGTGCACACTGACTATAGAGAATTCTCCACCTATAGCTTACTGCCACAGAATACTATGCACACACTGACTATAGAGAGCTCTCCACCTATAGAATACTGAGAGATCTGTGCACACACTGACTATAGAGAGCTCTCCACCTATAGATTACTGAGAGATCTATGCACACACTGACTATAGAGAATTCTCCACCTATAGATTGCTGAGATATCTGTGCACACACTGACTATAGAGAGCTCTCCACCTATAGATTGCTGAGAGATCTGTGCACACACTGACTATAGAGAATTCTCCACCTATAGCTTACTGCAAGATCTATGCACACACTGACTATAGAGAGCTCTCCACCTATAGCTTACTGAGAGATCTGTGCACACGCTGACTATAGAGAGCTCTCCACCTATAGATTACTGAGATATCTGTGCACACACTGACTATAGAGAATTCTCCACCTATAGATTGCTGAGATATCTGTGCACACACTGACTATAGAGAGCTCTCCACCTATAGATTGCTGAGAGATCTGTGCACACACTGACTATAGAGAATTCTCCACCTATAGATTGCTGAGATATCTGTGCACACACTGACTATAGAGAGCTCTCCACCTATAGATTGCTGAGAGATCTGTGCACACACTGACTATAGAGAATTCTCTACCTATAGCTTACTGCGAGAACTGTGCACACACTGACTATAGAGAGCTCTCCACCTATAGATTGCTGAGAGATCTGTGCACACACTGACTATAGAGAATTCTCTACCTATAGCTTACTGCGAGATCTGTGCACACACTCACTATAGAGAGCTCTCCACCTATAGATTGCTGAGAGATCTGTGCACACACTGACTATAGATAGCTCTCCACCTATAGATTGCTAAGAGATCTGTACACACACTGACTATAGAGAGCTCTCCACCTATAGATTGCTAAGAGATCTGTGCACACACTGACTACAGAGAGCTCTCCACCTATAGATTGCTGAGAGATCTGTGCACACACTGACTATAGGGAACTCTCCACCTATAGATTGCTGAGAGATCTGTGCACACACTGACTATAGAGAGCTCTCCACCTTTAGATTGCTGAGAGATCTGTGCACATGCTGAGTATAGAGAGCTATTCACCTATAGATTACTGAGAGATCTGTGCACACACTGACTATAGAGAGCTCTCTACCTATAGATTACTGAGAGATCTGTGCACACACTGTCTGGTCTGTTTGGACAGATATCCCTATTCTGTGTACACTGTCTTGTATAGAGACAGATCACTGTAACCCAGTAAAAGCGTTCTGTACAGATATTATCGTTTTCTCTCTCTCCATTGTCCATCTCTCTCTCTTTTCTCTCTCCAGGATTGCGGATGTGTCTCGGAGAGAACTTGGCTCGAATGGAGCTTTTCCTCTTTATCTCAGCTCTGCTCCAGAAATTCACTTTCACCAGAACACCTGGATCTAAACAGTTGGACTGTAATTCCCTGAGAAATAACAAGCCCGCAATGATAGTGAGCTCCGAGCTCTGCGCTGTCCCTCGCTCCACGTCCTCGGTCACTAAGTGATGACATGAGGAGGACACCAGCTCACTTTATAAATGTAACTTCAAGAATTAAAACAATTACTATATTGTTACAGAGTACAAATGATTGCAAGCACAGTAAACACTGAAGTGGTTATTGTGCTTGGAGTAATCGTATAAGCTGCTATATAAATTGCTAATTATTTTTACTAAAATTAATATAAGTATTTCACAATCTGAAGCATTAGAAGAAACACATCTTTCTAATTTATGGGTTTCTAGTGCATTAATGTATACTGGGTACTGCACGTTAATTTGAGAAGATATTAAGTATTAAAAGGGTTAATATTGAAGGGGAATGCACTCTAAATTCAGGGAAAGAAACCTCACTTAATTACTGTAATTGCAAGAAATAGAAAATGTCTCTTCCGTACATTAATAAACGTATTAAATGATTACCATTGTAAACACGGTTATTTAGCTGTGTATAAACCCATGCTTGCATTTCACACTGTGTGTTGTCATTGTGTTTAAGTTTAGTAG